TCTAGGACAGCCTCCTGGGAAAGGAGAGTGGGCCTCAGCTGGTGGAGGAGGCAGCCCCGTTGTCTCAGGCTGGTGTTCAGGGGACAATGTGGAGGATGCAGCTGAAGAGGAAGGCAGGTGCAGAGCATGTGGCTGTTTTTAGCACACGAGGGTCAGTTTCCAGCAAAAGTGTCCAGAAGAGCTTTGCCCAAGCTGTTCTCATCCGAATCAGCTGGGGACCAGCAGCCAGGCACAGGACACAGAATAATGGCTCCAAGCTGAGGCTGAGAGCTGCTCCTAGACCTCTGCACCCCATGCAAGCAGGGATGTGCCAGCTGCTGGCCCAGTCTTAGCTGGCGCCATGTATGAGGCACCCAGCCTGTGGCTAAGACTCAGGTCCTGCTCAGAGCCAGTAGGCTTACTTTGCAAGAATTCTCTTGCAAGAACCCACTGTTGGGTGAGGGCCCCTCTGCTACTTCTGGATATCTTAATGACTATGGGGTTTCCTGTGTCCTCCCTTAGGGCCTGAGGCTCCAGCCTCTTAAGGGAGCTAAGCTACTGATCTGAGGGCTCCTGGTCCTGGGAGTAAAGAGAGGAGGCTGCCAATGCCAGGCACAGTTGCACAAAGTGGGGCTTCTCAGGCAAAGTGCCAGGCTGTGCTATTCTTAGTGACAGGGCTAAAGAGAGGAGGAGGAGGAGAGCAGGGTTCCTTGCAGGGTAGTCAGGTGGGGGAAGGGCAGCAGTCTCTGAAAGTCCAGGCCTTGGGCCTGCGCCCAGTGGATCAGAGGAGGGCTGGGCCATCAGGATCGCTCCCAGCTGGGCTAAAAGCTGGAACAGGGTGAGGCTGGCCTTGGCTGTGGATAGAAGATGAGGGCCTTGTGTAAGTGGACAGCTCCTGGCAGAACGCAGGGACGGGCTGCAGCATCTACATACACAAGAGCCCAAGGGACATGCAGGTCTGGGAACAGCCGGATCACAGTTGCCCCCGCCTCCGATTGGTGTGCCGGAGAGGTCACAGCAGAAGAGACAGCTGGACTGGGGAGGATCATCAGCAAGGGAGCTAGGACCTAAAACTCCAACCAGAGCTCAAGAGGCAGCCATTAGCACCCCAAAACTGTGACTGGTTTTCCTGGTCAGAGCAGAAGAGGCTCCCAGCGCCTGCTATGAGGAACAAGAGGGAGCCTGGGACCCCCGAGGTCCTGCTCTGCTGTCTTCCCATTTGGGTCCTCTGAGTGGCCCCAGGCTTGGGGCTTCCCCTCACCTGCCGGAGAAGCCTTGCGAGTGCCCGCAGGGGGCTGTGAAGGGCCAAGCCACAGCAGGCGTCAGGTCCCCTTGTTTTCTCCTGTCTCACTTGTCACCACTGCCACAGCATGGGTCCCAAACCTATTTGTTCTCCCAGCCTGTCTCCCTCACCCCTGTGCACAACGGGGTCCATTCCCAGGAGCCCCGGCCTCAGGGCTTTCTCTTCCCTGGCTTTAGTGCTTGTTGTTTGGAACTCTGCGAAGTGTTTTAGGGCTCTCTGGTTCCCTAGAAGTTGCAGCGGCCCGTGACCACTACCTCCTTTTCCGGCATATTTGCTGTGCCCACCCCGCTGCGCTACGTGTCTGCAGGCCCTGTTTCCATCTGCATTGTGTGCTGCAGGAGGCCAGGTAACAGGCCTGTGACACGGAGGCTTCCTATTTTTGCCCAATGCCTCCTTTGGAGGCAGGCGTTTCAGGGCCAGTGCTGTACCTCCTTGAGGCTCCAGGGGCCCAGCTCCTTCTGACCTTCTGCCTGCCTCTTCACTGTCCTCTCCTGATGCACAGTAGCCACTGTCCCTCTGGGGACAGCATTCCAGAGCCATGCAGGAAGCGAGAAAGGACAAAACTCTGTCTACTAGGAAAGAATAGCTTTCACAGGAGCCCTTTGCAGTAGACTGCTGTTTACCTGTTACTGGCTTGTATTCTGTCATGTGCCCACTGGCTGCGGGAGAGCTTGGGAGTGGGTCGTTTTGCTGGGCACGTGGCTGATGCAAAGCCTGGCATTTGGCACGGAAGAGAACTGGGGGACGAGTGGGCGCGACTGCCTTACAGGCAGCCACCAGGGCCCGGCCTGGCGCCTGTGCGCTTCCGGAGCTCCTCTGGGTCTGTTACTTCCCGAGTTTAACGCCAGGAGTGCACTGGGGACCAGTGCTGACCAAACCGTCATCCCTGCCATGCAGTACAAATGAATGAGGTAGCTGAGGGCTACAAGGTCTGCCCACTTCTCAAGAGGCATCAGAAAGCTAGATTTTTTTTTTGGGTAAAGTTTAAAGAACGAAAAACTATTTTGAAAAAAGATCTGTGTTATAGCAGAGTTTCGGAGAACTTAGATTCCCGTGGACCCTGCACCCGTCTTCCCCTTCCAGTGGGGTCTGTGCGGCTGAGCCCAGGGAAGGGGGCAGTGCTGGGGGACCTTAGTGGCTACCTGCATTCTTCTCCATCTTCTTGGCTGATGTGTGCTCAGCTTCAGAACACTCGCACTTGGGCACCCAAATGACAATCACGCCCTCTTCTTTTCCACCCTTATTTTTCAAAAGTAACAGCCCTGTAGTTCCAAATTTAGGAGGTTCAAAAAAATACAGGGAAAAACGTCTCTGCTAAGTGACCCAGACCTACGCCTCCTCCCCTAGCGCCTGTGTCCCCACGTCTTGTGGGGCCCGCTTTACGCAGGTACAGGAAATGCAGCCTCCCTCCCCTCGTTGGCTCTTTGCGTCCACTCTGCAGGTCGTGGTCTTCACTTACGGTCCACGAGCTCGGTGACTCCTCCCTGTCAGCGCACGCGCAGCTTCCCTTTTTGTCTGTGGCTGCCTGAATTCCAGGTTTCCACAGACAGTTGTGTGAGTTCAGTGTTGTGCGTGGCTTTTCTTCACTCCAAGACTGTTTTCATTTATATTTGCACACAACTTCTTGTAGTGTGCTGGGTTTTGTTTAAATAGTGGATGCAGTTGGACCTTGTCTTGGTGTAAGATGTGAGGGATTAAGAGGCAGGGTCCAACTTGATTTTTCCAGGGACGACTCAGTGGCCTGGTCAGTCATGGAAGGAGTCCCACATTCCTCCGTGGCCTCGCTACCTGCCGCAGCGCGCATCTTCTCGTGCTTCTGTTGTGCTGCTGTATCTGCCGCCCAGTGAGCCACCTTCCCGCCTCTGCTTCCTCTTCCAAGCCAAGTCTCCCTCTAACCACAGAGCCGAAACTTGTCTGAGGGCCTCTGAGAACCTCACAGTCACCAGCCGGCATCACTTCACCTGCACCTCCGATGCTGCTTGGGGCTCTCCTGTGTCTGCTGCCGCCCCTGCCGGGTGCCTCCTTTGTCTTCCCTTGACAGGCTCTCTCTCCTCCGAGGGCCTCTCCCTTCCTGTGGCTGTGGCATCAACAAGGAAGCGTCCCAGATGTGCAGATCCCTCGCCCCGAGCCACCCAGACTGGAGACCCAATGTCCATGCTGTCTCTGGAGAGTTGGGAGGAGGTTGTTGGAGTCCAGGCAGGGGAGTGGGTGGGGGTTAGATGTGTCGAGGGAGCCACTTCCTACCGGGGGAGTTGCTATGCTTTGGAGCAGTGGTTCTCAAGCTTGGCTGCACCTTACAGTCACCAGGGGAGTTAAAAACTAAAGATCTCAGCTCTGCTGTGCACCCCAAACCACTCAAATTGGAATCTCCAGGGGTGGACTGTGACATCCCATGTATATAAAATTTCTTGTTGTTTTTGAGACAGAGTCTCAGTTTTGCAGTTCAGGCTGCCTTGAGGTCACTCTGTAGTCCAGGCTGGACTGAATCTTACAACAATCCTCCTGCCTCAGCTTCCTGAGTGTTGGGATTACAGATCCATCATGCCCTGTTAAGTTTTTTTTAGAGTTCTTCCCCTCCACCCCCCAATACTGAAGATTGAACCCGGGGCGTTGGCACTGACCTACACCCCAAGTCCTTTTTAATTTTTATTTTATTTATTTTATTTTTTATTTTGAGACAGGGTCTGAGTCACTGAGTTGCTCAGGCTTGGCTCTGACTTTCCATCCTCCTGCCTCAGCCTCCCAGAAGGCTGAGATTACAGGTGTACACCACCACCTTGCTAGACATGTGTACTTTGTAAAATGCCTCCATGATTCCAGTGTACAGCCAAGTTGGCAAGCCTAGAATAGAGCCAGGGAAAGGAGGCGTCTCCAACCAGCCCCAGGTTCAGCTGCCAGTGAGTGGGGAAATGGATATGGATCCCTAAGGAAGAGGCGGATGGGGAAGGAAAAGGATCCAGAAGACGCATAAGTCTCCCTGGAGCGGATTTTCTCCCTCCTGCCCCTGCCCAGCGCAGCATGGCTGTGTGGTTGTCCCTGCTGGACCCTGGAGGAGCCCCTCCCTCAGCGCCTCCTTGTCTGCACCGCTGCCCACGGCACTGGTGGGTGGGACTTTATGTGCTGATGGCCAGCACTGCCTCCTCCTGAGTAAGGGGGGACATGGGTCAGCACCACAAGCTCACGTCCCCCTGTAGAAGGCCTGGCTGCTGCTCTGCTGTGAACAGGAGCCAGGCACAGCAGGAGTGTGTATCCCTCTGACCCCAAGCCCATCAGAGAAAGGATGGGACCCGCCCTTCAAGAGCAGCAGCTAAAGAACAGGAATTTATGGCCTGAGTCTGGGGTCATCGTGGGGGATGGGATGAGGGACTCATATGGAATCCCCAGGGAGGCTGGAGGGTTGGGGAACCCCCAAGTTGTTCTGGCAAAGCTCCAGAGACTTAAAGAAAAGAGCAGGACACAGCAGAGGGGGTCACCCGGTCTGGATGATGACCACTCCTGTCAACCCCACCAACCTCCTGTGGGAGGCAAGAGGACAGGGAAGTGCGACAGCTGACTCTGATGCAGGAGCAGGGACCACGGGACCATGGGACGGCACCTCAGGGACTGGGGAAGGAACGGAGAGAGCTGCTTCCATGACGGTGGCCCTCAAGCCTGCTCTACTCCTGCTGCATGCTTTGTCCTTGCCTCCCCTGAAGTCTCCTGTCTCCCCTCTGCTCAGGCTGACAGGAACTGCCCTGTAGAGGTCCATCTGCGCGCAGACCCAGATGATGCCAGAGCTATGACCAGGCCTGCAGGTGTGGCACCGAGGGGAGATCAGCCATGGAGCAGCCACAGGAGGAGACCCCTGAGGTCCGGGAAGAGGAGAAAGAGGAAGTGGCAGAGGCCGAAGGAGCCCCAGAGCTCAATGGGGGACCAGAGCACGCGCTTCCCTCCAGCAGTTACACAGGTGAGGAGGGTGCAGAACAGAACCCGAGCCTGGCAGCCTGGGCTCTCTGCTGCCCTGCCGCCCACCAGAGCTGCAGGCCCTGGTGCCAACTCTCCCTCCGCCTTCTTGCTGGAAAGCAGGCGGGGATGGTAGGTGATGTGGACCTGGTTTGTAAGAACCAAGTGAGAGGCGTGGGTAATGCACATCATTGTCATTGTCATTGTCATTACCCTAGCTCAGCTGCTACCCGGCATCCCAGACCAGCCAGCAGTGACAATGCAGGGCTCCACTGTACCTGCGATTGTTGTGAGCAGTGGGAATGCTCGGCTGTTGGTCTGGTGCTGATTGCAGTTGGCAGAGTTGCCCCGCACAGTGATTAGACCTGAGTGCCAAGCAGCGAGTAGGGCTGCCCGTAATCATGTTCCCGGCAGCCTGACTGTCAGCTGCCCTGGTAGGTTCTCATCCGCTTAACCCCCGGCAGCGCAGCATGGCCGCCCCTCTGGCCTGGCCCGTCATGGCGTCTTCACCGTCAGTTGTGTCCACCTTCAGGGACCCCCAGAGGCCCCACATCCCCATTGCCCTGCCGCTCATGCCCGTCCCTCTTTTCACCAGCCTCTCTCCTTCTGGGGTAGGGTCTGCACACCCAGTTGATGCCCACGCCCCTCCTTCGAGGCCTGCAGGAGCCCCCCCATCTTGCTGCTCTTTGCAGCTGAACAGTCCGCCCGACAAGGGCAGCAGTGAGCAGATGCTCGAGCTGGTGCAGAGTGAGGTGGGGCGAGCTGTGGGGGTAGAGCGCAGGCTCCTGCTGGACCCAGCCGGAGAGAGGCTCTGCCCTTGAGCCTCACGGCCTTGAACCTGCAAAGCACAGCACGGGCTGGGGGAGGAAGCCGTCCTTCTGGACCCACTTAGGCTCCAGAAGTGGCATGGGGTGGTGTGGGGCCATAGCCAGCACCCCCCACCCCGGTCCCGAGTGATGCACACTGGGTGACTGGGGACCCGTCTTCCTCAGAAGAGAGAAGGCTGCCCAGAAGTGAGAATTCACGGCGTGCTAGCGTGTGCTATTCTGAGCTGGGGCTGGAAGGCAGGGGAGACCCTGGGACTCACCAGGATGAGCCAGGGATATCGGGACAGTGCTGAGGAAGGGCAAGGAGGAAGGGAAGGGCACAGGGTGTGTGACCTCACTGCCTGCCCTGGTCCAGCTGACGGCCTGGGCAGATGGACGTGTCCTGTCCTTGGTTTCCTACACACTCCTCGTGGGGACCCTGCTACTTACCCAGATGGTGTTCATCCAGTGGCCAGGAGCCAAGTCAGCGAGGCGGGTGTGGCAACGGCATCTCGGCAGCCTCATGGGTGGGTTTTAGGCCTCGAGGAAACATCTGCAGCAGGCTCTGCCGGGCCACCTCCGTGGTGCTGTCTGTGTCCATGTATGATGCGTGGGCTCCTCTGAACACACAGGAGGAAGTGGAGGTCGGAAGACTTCCTGCTCGGTAATGGAAGCAAGAGAGAGCTCTTTCACATTGTCACCGGCCGTGAGAGCCACAGTTCCTACAGAGTCCCATAGATTCTACGACACAAGCCACCTAGCGGAAAATCAGATCCTAGTCAGACAAGCAGTTGGAAAACGCAAAACGTTTTCAGTCCCACCCGTGGTCAGAGAAGGCATCTTAAGGTGAGGCGTTGCTTAGCTGCCGCACTGGAGGAGACTGGTCCACATTGGCCAGTGGTGAGGACTGGCCTGCAGCCCTGGAGGATGGCCAGACGGTGCCCTCCAGGAAAGCATGCTGTGTAAGTACAGAAATGTCCCCGCGGTGTGTTTACTGCAGCCCACCTGCTGCTGCGGGTAATTGGTTAGGAGGCTACCGCCACCAGCGATGCACCTTGGTCATTAAAAGGGACAGGGCAGGTCTGGACACACGCAGGGGCTTAGTTCCGGACACGGTGAGAGGCTCTTACGTCAGAATCCCTGGGTATCTCAGAAGGTGCTGGGAGATGGCAGACAGGGCAGTGGGGCCCACCGGGCATGGGGTCCCCAGAGGAGGGCCTGTCCTGAGATGCCACTCGCCTCTCTCAGCAGGCCACACTGCCTGCCTCACTGAAAAGGCACTCGTGCTGCTTTTCTTCAAAGGGTAATAAATCATGAACATTTGTAAAAGGGAGCTGGCAGGAGACACGTCCTGGAGATTACAGGGCCTCTTCCCTTGTCAAGGGCACGAGGGCTTTGAGATCACACAGGCCGGCCAGGAAGCCGGTCCCCACCATGAGACCTGGCCCTCGCCACTCATCACCACCACCATCTCAGCTGCCGCACCGGTAAAGGCCTAGCAAGGTGAGAAGAAATGGTGTATCGGACCTGATGCAAGTCTCAGCATCTGCTGGCTGCCTGCTCTGCCCCCGGGCGTCTGTGACGTTGGCTCCAGAGTCCATGCAGGGACCCATGAAGAACCCAGAACAAGCCAGGTGTGGTGCACACCTGTAATCCCAGCATGCTGGGAGGCTGAGGCAGGAGAATTGCAAGTTTGAGCCCATCCTGGGCAACTCAGCAAAACCTTGTCTCAATTTTTTTTTTAAAAAAAGGGCTGGAGCTGGAGCTCCATGTAAAGGCCCTAAATTCAATCCCAAGTCCAACACCTCCCCCCCCCCCCCGCAAAATATAGGCAGCAGCTTTGCAGGCTTTACCTGACTCCCTGCTGTTCTGCACCTCCTCCGCATACCGGTACTGAGTTTGGCACCTGCAAAGCATCCTCAGCCCGTGAGGCAGGCAGCACAGGCCTCACCGTTAGCTCGCAGTAGTGAGGAAACCGAGGCCGCCAGGAGGTCGCTTATCCCAGAGTCCCCTGGCCAGGGTGGGACACTGAAGGCAGGAGAATAAGGTCAACAGCGTCTGTTTGCTGAGCTCATAATTGAGGATGGTGAAATGGGGAGCTCACCGTGGAGCGACAGGCTGCTGTTGACAGAGGCCAAGCACCGGGCGATGACCAGTATTGTCCGCAGCGACCCACTCGCGAGAACACGTGGGTAGGTAGAGTAGGTGCTGGGCACAGGAGCCCAGCTCCAGGAGATGCCTGGCTCTAGGTTATGATCCCCACTTTGCTACCATCTTGGGGTTCTGCAGAGAAAATAAAGCTAGTGGGGGAACTGCATACAGAGACAGATGAGCGGGTTACAGAATTAGCTCCCCTAGGTGGGCAGTCCAGCTCCTGTAGGACAGGCTGGAGGCCCAGGGAAGTTGTATCCCAGCTCAGACACACAGAATGCGTGAAGTTGGGGTTCCCTCTGTCCACAGGGAATCTTTTTTTCTGTTGGGTGAGACCCACTCACTTTATGAAGGGTATCCCCAAATCTGACCTAAATGGTAAGCACATCTTTATTTTATTTTATTTTATTTTTTTGGTACCAGGAATCGAATTCATGACTTTGCGTTTGCCAAGCAGGCACTTAAGCCACTGAGCTAAACCCCTGGCCCTAAGCACATCTTTAAAAACACCTTATGGCAAAATGTAGGGGAGTACCCCTGCTCAGCCAGGTTGGCACATAGACCTGGGACGGACACCACCATGGGCGCTGCACCTGACCTCCTAACCTGTTTGCCTTCCAGTAAAGTGGGGGTGAAGAGCACTCCCTGAAGGGTTGTTTCAAGGTTCCTGTGAGTCAAACAGGTGTGATATGCTCAGTAGAGTGCCTGGCACACAGGCGTGCAAAAAACAGATGGTACTGTTTTTTGTAAACACACGCAGTTAGCTTCCAGCCCATAGTGACAAAGACACTACCATGCCTGCACTTGGGGCCTGACAAATGTGGGCTCTTCCTCTTTCCCTGCTGGGGGAGCCAGGCCCTGGGAGATGAGGAGCTCAGGGTACAGGCCTGGGAAGGAATGGCTCAAGAGGACAGTCAGAAGTGGCCCAGCAGGAGGCTGAGGGGAGGCACGATAGGGTAGGTCAGCTTCCCATCACTGTGACAAAGTACTCAAGATAATCAGGTTTAGAAGAGGAAAAGTGTGTTTGGCTCACCCTTTTGAAGGCTGCAGACTAGTCACTTGTGCATTGCTTCTGATGGTGCGGTGACACATCACACAGAGGGTGCACAGTGGAGAGGGCTGCTCACTTCAGAGCCACTGACCGCAGAGGGGAAGAGGAGAGGTCAGGGCACGTGCCCCAGTGACCTGACCTCACCCTGCCGGGCCCCACCTCCTAGGAGTTCCACGCCTCCCTGTCTCCCAGCAGCATTGTGGCCTGGGGACCAAGCCTTCAAGCTGGCCTTAGGGAGCACTTGGGACCACACTCCAGCAAGGAATGTGGGCTGTTTGGGTGACCAGGGCAGGGAACCCTGCTCCTGTTCCACCCCAGCCCCAGGAGTGCAGGCAGGGGCTGCCCCGTGGATGAGCCCCTCTCAGAGTCCCAGCCAGCCCTGCCCAGGAGCCCTGCCTGTCCCCAGCTCCAACCAGGGGGTGGTCGTAGAATATGGGGAACCTTCATAGTGGTCAGTAGGGGCTGGGGATTTAGCTCAGGAGCATAAGCACCTGCCTGGCAAATGTGAGGTCCTGAGTTCAATCCCTAGTGCCAAAAGGAAAAAAAGGACCAGGAATGGTCCGTAGGCTGAGGGAGACTCTGCCCTCAGTACTGTGGGGAGGAGGAGATGATTTGGGGACAACCCTTACATCAAGTAGCCAACCAAGAAGAAACAGAAACTGTATTTTTAGAAAACCCATCCACAGACCTCCGTCATTTCAGTCTTGCACCCTGCAGTGAAGCCCGCACAGCAGGCAGCGCCTGCCCCGCCCACCCCCACTCCTGCTTGTTTCAGCCACTTCTAAACAGGCAGGGGGTCCTCACCAAGGTCCCCGACTGCTCCCCAGTCATTCCCTGCCTGGGAAGGAACACCCCAGTCTCCCCTACTTAAGCCCTTGTGAGATACTCACCGTCTGGGTCTCCTCACATCCCAGCTCTGGGTGCTGCAGGTGGCCAGCGGGGTTTGGGCACCGTGGGTTCAGAGCCCTCCGAGCCAGGGGCCACAGCAGGCAGGAGGTGAGGGGCAAGCAGGGGTACCCCGGGTGTCCCAGCCTCGGGTGTGGAGGACCCTCCAGCATGGGCGCCGTCATGTGGCTGCAGCTTGCATAAGCAGTAGTCCCCACTCCAGGAGCCGGCCCTGCAGTAACTCTCCCTTGTCACCAGGACCCTCCAGATGTGTTCTCATCTCCTTTGCAGAAGAGGAAACGGGCTCAGCGGCCCAGAGCTGGGACCTGAGCCCAGGACACTGGGCCGTGGCCTCAGGGCCACTCGCTGGGACGCACTAGAGGTGGCCTCTGAGCTTGGGCCTCGGGGTCCCCACCTCTGCCCCACAGAGGAGAGCGGTCACCTGCCATGCTGCTGAGACCTGGCGCCGTTCACCTGCCCTGCCCTCCGCCTTGCGAGGCAGTTTCCTCGCTCAGCTGGCTGTGCACAAGCCTGCTCCTATCCCACCCCGCATCTAGCAGGTGCTCAGCAGGGCACTGCCCTACACAGGGCCACCTGGCCCACAGGGGAGGGGGAGGAGGACCAGAGGAAGATGTGACTCATCTGTAGGGCTTGGTCTCTGTGGATGTGACTTGGGTGGGCCAGGTTCTCAGGTGCAGAGGCAACATGTTGAGGGACACGGGAGTGCCCTCTGTGACCGCGCACTGGGCGCCCAGGTCAGAGGCAGCAGTGCCATCAGCATCTGCGCGCCTCCACAGAGTGCTTTTGTGTCTTCTTATCTCACTGTTGCCCACACGGCTCCTGTGAGTTCTGTTGTCCTTGTCCTGATGCCTCCAGGACAGCAGGTCCCAGCTAGTACCTCGGGCAGCTTGAGGGCCGCAGACGCCCAAGCTGCCCTGAGATCCACACCTGCACGGTGGATCCCTGCTGTGTACTCTTGATGTCTAGTGGGTGGCGCCTGCCACAAACAAACACAGGTGGACTGTTGTCAGCTAGTGACAGAGGCTGCTGAGACAACCACACCTGCTTTGCCTGAGGAATTCAGGGGCCAGGTGTCCCCATCTGGGGGCTGAGGTACGGATGGGACAGGCCATCACAGAGCTTACGTCACCCCTAAACCTTGTCAGCTGGGAGGGGAGCAGCCCGTGGGTCCTGCTGCTGGGGCCTGTGCTGCTTGGTTAGCTGCTGTGGCCAGGACGGGGTTCTCCTAGGCTCCAGAGAAGAGAATGCAGGCAGGGTGCCAGGCAAGCAGCTGGTTGGGAACTTAGCCTGAGGAAATCACTCAGGCATCCCATGAGAGAGCAGGGATTAGGCCAGCATGGCAGAGGTGGGCAGGCCATCCAGTGCCACTAAGCAGGGGTCTACAGGCCAGGGCCCAGTGAGGTCCCCGTCATCTCAGTCCTGTGTTTCGGGAGAGGTGCACAGCGTTCCACGTCAGGGGACAGCACACCTGCCCCAGAGCTGCAGCCACCACCTGTCTTCCTTCCCAGCGCCACGGTGCAGACAGCTGTGCGCTGCGTAGAAGACCTGAGGGAACCGCCCTAGCTCAGGACACCTGTGCTCGCTGCACCCAAGTCAGTTTCACGGAGTGATTTTGAAGTTCTGGAGAGACCCACCGCAGCATCTGTGGATCTGCACAGGGAGCTTCAGAAGGGGGATGATGGCTCCATAGAGAAACGGCTCCATCCTTCTGCAGTTTCCTCAGAGCAGGCCAACACTAGCCATGGCGGCCAAGGGGGTGGCCTCCAAAGTGGGAGGGAGAGCTACTCTGTCTGCCCCCAACCAAAGCCCAGCCACGCTTACATCCTGTCCCCCAGCAGAGGCTGGCACAGGAGGGCTCTCAAGAGCCACGCATGCTGTGTCAGGCTCTGGGGGGGTGGGGTGCACTGAGCCTTTGTACCTCCTCCCAGAGACACTGTCCTTAACCCCACCTGACAGGTGACGAGTGGGTTCTCAGGTTCTCCACAAGGAGAGCTTCCTAGCTGGCAGAGTGTGACGCTGCCCTCTGTCCTGTGTCCACAGACCTCCCGCAGGGCTCCTCCCCAGCCTCGCTGCTAGACCAGCTGCAGGTGGGCTGCGACGGGGCCCCTGGCAGCAGCCTCAATATGGAGTGCAGGGTGTGCGGGGACAAGGCGTCTGGCTTCCACTACGGCGTCCACGCGTGTGAGGGGTGCAAGGTACGACTGTGCGGGCCTGCAGGGCTGTGGTCACAGGGCGAGCTGACCTACCACTGAGCCCCTTCTGCCACGGGCAGGGCCCTGAATATCCCACTGTGAAGTCTCCCTGGGCTCATGGCTGAGGGTTTAGCTCAGCGGCACAAAGTGCCTGCCTGGCAAGTGCAAGGTTGTGAGTTCAGTTTCCAGTACCAAAAATAAAAAAGAAACCGCCTTGGGCTCAGCCCAGCCCGGGCCCTGGGCCCTGGGGAAGAAGACAGCTTTCCTTGCTGGCCTGTCCTGCTGGGCACTGCCACCTGACCCAGCTGCTCACTGGACAGCTGCAGGTGGCCAGCGCCCCCTGGGGACTAGAGTTCAGAAGGCAGGCCGGAAAGGAGGGAAGCCTTTGAAGGCTCTTTGTGGGGTGGGAGGAGAAAACAAGGGCTGGGATTTAGCTCAGCAGTGTAAGCACCTGCTCTGGAGCTCAAGGTCACGAGTTCAGACCTTACTACAAAAAAAAAAAAAAAAACCAGAACATTACATTTCTTTTTCCAGTGATGTTTCTGTGTTTTTCTCCTAACTACATCCCATCAGAATTTTACAAATCTTCCATCTACCTTTTTTTTAATGTGGTGCTAGAGATGGAATCCAAGGGCACTCCGTTACTGAGCTACATTCCCAGCCCTACCTGCCTGTCTGCCTACCTGTCTGTCTATAATTTGAGACAGGGTCTCAATAAGCTGCTTTGGGAGGTCTTGAATTTACCATCCTCCTACCTTAGCCTCTCAAATGCCAGAATTACAGGTGTGCACCACTGCACCCTAAACTCTTGAAATAATTAAAATTATGTACCACATTTACTTTCCATGCCCAAAGAAGTCTTAAAACTTGTTAGTTTGGTAACGTAAAATTGTATTGTGACCGGGCTGGGGATTTAGCTCAGCGGCATAAGCACCTGCCTTGTAAGCAGGCAGTCGTGAGTTCTATCCCTGGTACCGATAAAAAGGAAAAAAGACAAAAAAAAAATTGTATTGTGACCAACTTGATGTATTCATAAATGTATCTGGCTCTGTATTTCGTAAATGGTGGTTTAACAAAACAATCTATGAGCTGGGTGTGATGGTACATTCCTGTAATCCCAGCTCTGAGGGAGGCTGAATCAGGAGGGTCATAAGTTTGAGCCCAACCTAGGTAAGTTAGTGAGACCTTTCCTCAAAAAGGGTTAGGGATGTAGCTCAATAGTAAAGTGCCCATGCCCCAGTGCCATTAAAAAAAATAAAAATAAAAAAGGCTTAGCATTTGCTTTCTTCCTTTCCCTTCCAAAATATTTTCCCCTGTTACTTCCACATTTCACCAGTTTTACACTGGTACATCCTGGCCCCTGGCACAGCCCGGCAGGCGGAGTGGGCTCCTCCGCCCACCCGTCCTGGCGGCCTCTCCTCACCGCTCTGGGTCCCGCAGGGCTTCTTCCGCCGGACCATCCGCATGAAGCTGGAGTATGAGAAGTGTGATCGGAACTGCAAGATCCAGAAGAAGAACCGAAACAAGTGCCAGTACTGCCGCTTCCAGAAATGCCTGGCCCTGGGCATGTCGCACAACGGTGAGTGGGCCAGCGCCCGGCACAGAGAGAGCATTGGCTGCCGACCTGGCCCGCCTGGACCCCGGGTCTCGGTGCTAAGACCTGCCACTTCCCCAGAGTGCCCAGCGCCCACCGTGGGTGCCACATCTGGGCGGTCACCCATCTCTACACCTGGGGCCACCTGCTGTGGCCAGAGGGAACTGAGAACAGACCTGTGCGAAGGGCAGGGGACACAGTTCCTGGGACTCAGCCTGTCTCAGGGGACCTCACACAGCACGAAAGCCACTGCCAAGGCTATGATCCTCTTCTCAGTGTTTGCAGGTGGGCAGGGGCCAGTAAATGACCACATATGTCAGCTATAAGGAGCCTTGTACTCCCAGAAGGCTGTGCCTTCCCTGCCCACACTCCGGGCCTTTTCTAGAGCCCGGGGCAGGATGCATGCAGGCTGCCCGGCCCCCCTGTCTGTACCTCTAGGTCAGACCCTAGTGGGGAGCCTCGTGGCTAAGTGTCTCCATGTCAGTCAGCCGCAGGGGCCCTTGCCTGTGATGTGTCAGTGGTTTGCATGGCAGCAGGTGGTGAGACCCAAGCCCCCATTTGGCTTTTCCTGGGCTCTCGGGATTGACTTTTCCCAGTCAGTCTATGCTTGCTCTGGCCTCCCTACCACTAGGGTCTTCCTAGGAGTCTCAGGCTGCCCGATCCCTTCCCCACTTTTTCTGTAACAAAAGTCAGACTCATGAGCCTGTCTTTTTTTTTTTTGAGATTGTTGCCCAGGCTGGCCTCAAACTCGTGGGCTCCTACAATTCTCCCACCTCAGCCTCTTGAGTAGCTGGGGCTCTAGAAAATATTTTCATCTAATTGTGGCAATGACCTAGTAAGGTTTAAGCTGTCAGCTCACATTTCCTGCCAAGAGAATAAGGTAAAACAGCCCATCCAAAGCTGTCCTGCATGTGAGGTGCCATGCTGTGCCCCCTCCCGGCTAGTGTGGCCTGGTCACTTGGTAATAGAGGGCTTGGTGAGGGGGAGAGAACCTCACCCTCGAGGGGCTGGCTGAAGTCTGGAGGGGACGCCACAGTGCTGTCCTGGTTACTCTGGAGCCTCTGAGGGGACAACTCCAGGTCTCCATCCTTGACCTGTGGCCTGAAGACGGGTGGGCGGTTAGAGGCACTGGCCCTGCCCGGCTTCTCAGTCACTGTCCCCTGCCCTCTGTGCAGCCATCCGCTTTGGTCGGATGCCGGAGGCTGAGAAGCGGAAGCTGGTGGCGGGGCTGACAGCCAACAAGGGGCATCAGCACAACCCGCAGCTGGCCGACCTGAAAGCCTTCTCCAAGCACATCTACAATGCCTACCTGAAAAACTTCAACATGACCAAAAAGAAGGCCCGCAGCATCCTCACCGGCAAGTCCAGCCACACAGCGGTGAGTGTTGCTGTCCCCCGCAGCCCCGACTCTGTTGTGCAGGCAGGGTTGTGGGAGCACGGGTGGGGACCCCCGAGGCTCGGCTTCTGATGGGGCCTGGTTTCCAGCCCTTCGTGATCCACAACATCGAGACGCTGTGGCAGGCGGAGAAGGGTCTGGTGTGGAAGCAGCTGGTGAACGGCCTGCCGCCCTACAAGGAGATCAGCGTGCATGTCTTCTACCGCTGCCAGTGCACCACGGTGGAGACCGTGCGTGAGCTCACCGAGTTCGCCAAGAACATCCCCAACTTTAGCAGCCTCTTCCTCAACGACCAGGTGACTCTGCTCAAGTACGGTGTGCACGAGGCTATCTTTGCCATGCTGGCCTCCATTGTCAATAAAGACGGGTTGCTGGTGGCCAATGGCAGTGGCTTTGTCACCCACGAGTTCCTGCGCAGCCTCCGCAAGCCCTTCAGCGACATCCTGGAGCCCAAGTTTGAGTTCGCTATCAAGTTCAATGCGCTGGAACTCGACGACAGTGACCTGGCTCTGTTCATCGCGGCCATCATTCTGTGTGGAGGTGAGCGAGGGTGGGGCAGGTGAAGCACAGGCATCTCAAGGGTCGGACCATACCCCAGGACACCAGGCCTGAGCTCAGACAGTGTGGGGACACGTCTGTGACCCTAGCACTGCCACACATGCAGGGGCTGGTCTGTCTCATTGTACAGATAGTGGTGGAGAAAGAAGAGAGAGAAAAAAGTAACCATTGTACTCAGGGGGTTATTTAGAGTATGGACAAACCAGTGTGTCACCTGCATGTTTCAGACTCCAGCCTAGTAACAAGCGTGCCAACCAGCAGGGGCACAGAGCTTACCTCTCGCCATATACTGTTCTGGTTCTTTTCATTTGGTCCTCACAGCAGCCTCAGGCTGAAGGTTCTTTTTCCTTATTCCCATTTTACAAATGAGACTGGACCCCAGAGAGGCCCAGGGCCTACCAGGTAGTCTTTGGGAGAGGCCAGATTTGAACCCGGGCATAGAGTCTCTCAACCGTGGTGCCTGCTACGCCCCCTGATCAGGAAAAGCAGTATTGGCAGAACACAAAGTGCGGGGCTGAGATTAGAGCTCAGTGGCACTGTCCCTGACAGGACAGGGCTTGGGTCTGTGCCAAGTCAGGCAGCCCCGGGCGGGGCAGAGGAGCTCCCGCACCCTTTTGAGACCCCATGTGTCCCTGTCTCCATAGACCGGCCGGGCCTCATGAACGTGCCTCAGGTGGAAGCCATCCAGGACACCATCCTGCGTGCCCTTGAGTTCCACCTGCAGGTCAACCACCCCGACACCCAGTACCTCTTCCCCAAGCTGCTGCAGAAGATGGCTGACCTGCGGCAGCTGGTCACCGAGCACGCCCGGATGATGCAGTGGCTCAAGAAGACCGAGAGCGAGACCTTGCTGCACCCACTGCTGCAGGAGATCTACAAGGACATGTACTGAGCCAGAGCCCAGGCCTCTGCAGGCCTCAGGGGCCTGGACACACAGGGCCCTGGCTCCCCCTTTCCCTCTGTCCCCTGCTTTGCTCCCCTGGCTTCTCTTTGTGCCTCTCACTTCGTCTTGCCAGCTCCCTCTTCCTTCTGCCCCGTCTCCCTTCTTGCTCTCCCACCTCTTTCCTGTCCCCAGTCTGTGTTCTCTCACCAGCAGCCTGTATCAGGGCCCTCCTTTCCCACCCTTCTCTCTGAGAGGTGCCCCGCCCACTTTAGACCACACCCCTGTCGCCAGCCCCGCCCATCTCCAGGCCCTGCCCCCTGCCTTCAGGCTCCTCCTATCTCCAGTTGGAATCCTGGAGCCATCCAAAGAAACACTACTTTCTCTGGGTGGGGAAGGCTGGGCCTAGACTCACAGCAGCAGCTGCCTGTGGTCACTGGATCCCTGCTGCAGGGACAGTGGGCAGGGTGCCTGGCCAAGACCCAGTATGTCCTCCACACTGCCTCCTGCCTAGAGCCCAAGGCTGGCCCCAGACTCAAGAGCCCTTCCTAGCACCCCTGCCCCAAGACCTTTCGTCCTCTGCTCCAGTCTTCTAGAACAATGTAATTGGTGGCCCCTGCACTGGCCGCACCCCTAAGTTGTACAGAACCAGGGTTCCCTCCGGGAAGGGCCCTTGTCGCCCACTGAGAATAAGAGAGGGGGAGAGAGGTTGAAAGAACAGGACATTTAACTGACTCCTGGGGCAGGCCTCCAGCCACACCCACTCCTCACCCAGCAGCAGCCACCCCTCTGCCAGCACCGGCGTCTGGCCTGACATTTGCCCCTCTCTCCAGCAGGAGGCGCTGGGCCATCCCAGCAGCACTTCCAGGGCTGCTGCCCTGCACACCCTGCATTGCACTGCGATCACTTTACCGCGTTTCTGTGCCTCCCCCTCCCCCTCCCACTCCCTGAGAGATGCATGCCAGGCAGCCTCTGTCCTAGGGCCAGATGAGTCCACTCAGGCAGGGTGCCTACCCAGCGGGAGCTGCCAGGGATACGCTGCCCTGTCTGTTCTGATGGACATCGAGCTGACCCCTGGGAACTGCCCCTGCGCAGCCTCCGATGCTGGGGACTGTGCAGACTGGTCCTGTGGCTCAGGCCAGCCACCTTGGGAGAGACCAGGGCCCAGCCTGGGGTGCGGGATCCGCAAGAGGGCCTGTGGGGCCTGTGGGGGTGAAGGACCGGCTAGGGCCTCAAAGCAAGCTGAGCCAGGCTTTGGACCTGGGCCTCGAGGGCCCTGCCTTAGGCCCCAGCTGTGGGAGGAATCACCCTGGAGACAGCACAGGCCCTGCCTGCCTAGTGGCCACCTGTGTCCCAAGGCCCCTCTGTTAGGAGACCCTTGCCTCTCCACTCCTGCACCGGCCTGACTTCGTGCTGGGGCGCTGCCCTCTGCGCCAAAGCTGTGAAGGAGGGCAGGGCCCGCTCCCGCCCCCGCCCCTGGCCGCCCCATCTTGCTGAGGGCCTGGGACCTCAGTGTCTCTGCAATCTCCAATACTGAAATGTATATTTTTGCTAGGAGCCCAATTTCCTGTGTTTTTAATATAAATAGTGTACACAGACTGACAGAACTTTAAATAAATGGGAATTAAGTATTTAAGAGCTGACGAGGCCAACTCTGCTGTATGTTTATGTGCTTTTCTGGGCTGAAGGATTCCTCCTCCTCTACCCCAGAGAGGCAAAGGGAGCCCTGGGGTGCAGGCAGCTGTGGTGGCTGCTGGACCTTCATTTGTCACAGGTGTGGAGGAGAAAGTGCCATCTTGTCCAGCACAGGACATGAAGAGGGAGGAGATGTGTGCGTGGTGAGGAGGCCCAGGGGTATCACGGCACCATCCAGAAACAAGCACGGTGTGTGTATGTGTAAATTTAGCTCAGTGGCATAAGAGCCTGGCTAGCAAGTGCAAAGTCGTGAGTTCAATCCCTGGTACCAAACAGAGAAAAAGAAAAAAACAAGAGGCAGGTCTGAGGGCCATGGAAGGTCTGGCGGGGGGTAGCCCTAGGCCTTGGGCACTGCTTGGGAGCTGCAAACCCAGGCCAGCCCCCGGCTGTCCTCTGCCAGCAGGTTTGGCCGTGGCGTGAGGCCAGATCACCGGCTCCCCATTCCTGTCCCAGTATTGGGGGAATAAGAGGCTTGCTTCAGCAAGAGTGCTAGAGGTCTCAGTTCATGGTGATTTGGCCTCATGGCTTGGGTCCCATGACTGCGAGTCAGTGGCGACTGCATGCAGTAGAACAAAACTACTCACTGAGAAGCAAAGAGTAAAGGAAGAAAACCAGACAAGGTCACCCTTATGTAGTCCCAGCACTCAGGAAGCTGAGGCAGGAAGAGTGCAAGTTTGCTCCCAACCTGGACAACCTAGTGACTTAGTGAGACTCTGTCTCAAAACCCCCCCAAAACACACACAACATAAGGGCTGCCCATGGTGTTGCACACCTGTAATCCCAGCACTCTGAGAGGTTGAGGCAGAAGGACCACAAGTTTAAGCCCAGCCTGGGCAACTTAAGCCCCCATCTCAAAAAAAAAGGGGGAGTGTCCCATGATTCCCTTGGTGGGTCCATTCCCCATGACCTAAAGCCCACCTACGAGGCCCCACCTTAAATTCCCACCATGTCCCAGCAGCACAAGCTGGGGACCAAGCCCTAACACATGCATATGTGGCTCAACTCCGACAGTGCTTACCTCATCAAGAAGGCGACTCACTGCTAAGTATGTCCAAATGGGGGATCCCTCCCCAGAATTGTTACAAAAGAATGGAGAGGACTAAACGATCAAAAGGGGAAATTGAGGTCCTCCAGAGAGCAGTAACTGAAGGAAGCCAGCTGCACCTGCAGGGCTTGCTGGAAAATGGGTCATGGGGGGCCACCTCCACTGCAGACACCCAGCAGCCCGAAGCCACCTGCTGACCTGAGTCCTCGCACACCACTGACTGGGGCTGCCAGGGCTCCACAGCCGCTGCTGTTGCTGCCTCTGGAGCCTTGCCACTTGGAGGGGAGCCCCTGGAGCCCATCCAGCTACCCCTGCCATGAGTGCCATCTGCATTCCTGCCGTGGCTTCATCTCTCATTGAAAGCCTGACCAGCAGGGGGTCTGGAGAATGCAGTTTGCAGACTTCTAGCCCCTGCAGTATAAGAGGAGCATGGGAAAGGGTAGGTGTCAAAACCAACACCAAGTCCCACCAGCAGCCCCAGGTGAGGGGCTGCCAGAGGCTCACAGTGGAAGGTGCTGATGAGCACGGAGGGCATTGGCCTCCCTGTTCAGTCTCTGTGCTGACAGCTAGCAGAGCATTCTGAACTCCGTCAGGCCTATGGGTTTGTCTCAGCCAGGCAAGTGCTGGCCCCAGGAAACGGAAGAGAAAGGAAGAGATGGAATGCTTGGAACGGTCAGCTTTCTGGCACTGAGATGCACCACCTGACACCCACAACATGGAGGAAGAAACGGTTAATTCGGTTTCATGAGATCAGTTCTTGGCGGGCTGGCCCCACAGCAGGACAACATGACAACGGTGTCATAGGGCGGGCTGCTCAGTTCACGGTGGCCAGGACACAGCAGGGAACAGTGCCAGGGAAGAAGTGGTGAGAGATCGTAGATAGTATCCGAAGTCACAGCTCCGTGACCATCCAGACACATCCAGGAGCGTGTTTTACTGATCTGCTGGGCGGTTCTTGGTCCAATGAAGTTGACACAGTGGGACCAGAAGTCCTGAGGTGTCCCTGAAATTGGTAGCCCTGCTGGTTTGGACTCCTCCACTTTACCTGTTTCTTGTTTCGGTAGTGGAAGGAATCGAACCCAGGGCCTTGGGAGAGCTCAGCACTCTTCTCACTGAACCACTTCCCCAGCCCTGCCTGTTTAATTCTCTCACCTCCCAATCCTTCCCATCAAGTGGGAGGAAGAATAATCAGAACCTGGGTCTCAGCTGTTACAGGCCCGGAGAGGTAAGATGGCTGAGTGAATGCACCGAGCACCTGCCCCTCTGGGGGTGCAACCGGTCTGTTGTCAACCTGGCTTCCCGTGCTGCGGAGACATAGGTAGCATCATGTCGCTTGACTCTACATTAAGGCCACTTCTATCCTGTGTTCTCCCCACTTCCCTCTCATGGACAGCACAACCCGACAAGGAAGCGGGATCACCTGCCTTTTCCAGGTGCCGCCAGGAGAGCAGGGCGTGGCCAGGGAGGGGAGCCTGTTCCCCCAGCCTCAGGACCAAAGTCTTTCATCCCTGATCTCTTCTTAAAGATGCCCAGGATAAGTGAACGCAACATTTAGACTAAAACAGAAAACAACCTTAAGAAAATTAGAAGATACTGCATGCTTTGTAATAATTCTCAAACAACACTGAAATATTTTTTAAATTTTATTTTTTTAAAAAAGGATTTTAGGGGGCTGGGGATTTAGCTCAGCGGCATAAGCACCTGCCTTGCAAGCAGGCAGTCGTGAATTCAATCCCCGGTACCGATAAAAACGAAAAAGACAAAAAAAAAAAAAAAAAAAAAACCAGGATTTTTTCCTCCAGGGCTGGTTAATCTCCCCGGGAAGCCTTGCAGACGTGGGCACAGAACCTTTCTGGACCACAGGTACAGGCAGTGCAGGAGTCCCACAAATTGCTGATATGAAGTCCCGGCCTGGGGATGGAGCTCAGTGTAAAGTGCTTGCCTGGGTTCCATCCCAGCCCCACAGGAGAAAGAAACAGAGAAAACCAAGCCTGTGCAACGAGACCTCAGAACTTCAAATAATTAATTAACACTGCATAGGAAATAAATGTTTTATTATTTTAAAATGTAAATCTGGGGGGCTGGGGATTTAGCTCAGCGGCATAAGTGCCTGCTTTGCAAGCATGCAGTCATGGGTTCAATCTCTGGTACCAATAAAAACGAAAAAGACAAAAAACAAAACAAAACAAAACAAAACAAACTGTAAATCCGGCATGGTGTCCTAAACCTGTAGTGCTAGCTACAGGCCTATGAGACAGGAGTTCAAGGACAATCTGGGCAACTTAGAAACCCTGTATCAGAAATACAAAAAGGGATGAGGTCATTTGTACAGTGCTTGCCCGCACCAAACCCTGGGTTCGACCCTTAGTACCTCTAAAAGATACATACATTTTTGTGCAACCTTTTTTTTTTTTAATCGGTACCAGGGATTGAACTCATGACTGTGTGCTTGCAAGGCAGGCACTTATGCCACTGAGCTAAATCCCCAGTCCAAAGATATGTACATTTTTATATAAATGTATATGTAAAGTGAATCAAAACTTTGGAACAATTTGATCCAGCAGAAGTAAAATATATAACAAAAATGTTTATGAGTATTGCTTTCCCAGTCAAGTGTTTCAGCTGAGACAGGAAATTGTTAATCCCTACTTAGGTCCTCCGCAGGACCACACAGTCTCGTGGGGAGAGAGTCCAGGCTTTGAAGTAATGAAAAAAATGAGAGGTGTTAGAAATAAAATCTGGGGCTGGGGATTTAGCTGAGCAGCATAAGCACTTGCCTGACAAGCTCAAGGTCATGAGTTCGATCCTCAGTACCAAAAAGAAAGAAAATCTGGACACTATTGTGCCAGATGCTTGGGAGGCTGAGGCAGGAGGATTATGAGTTCAAGGACAGGCTGGGCAACATGGCAAGACCTTGTATCAGAAAAGGGGAGGAAAACTGAGGTCTGGTGCTGCTTTTAATCCCAGCACTGTGGGAAGCTGAGGCAGGAAGATCACATTTTCTGCAGTGCTCCAACAATTTAGTGACTTAAGACCCACTCTCAAAATACAAAAATAAAAATGGGCAAGGGATGTAGCTCGTGAGAGGTGCTGAATTCAATCCCAGTTCCACAAAGGGAAAAAAAAAAACAACTGCATGGATGGACTCTTAAATTTCCTGGTCCTTCCTAACTGGGCCATCACCACAGACACACATGGGGTAGGGGAGGACACTGTCCCAGGCCCAGTCCCTCATGCTGAGCTGCCAGCGAGCCTGGGCCATGAGCTCATCTCCTCAGACAACTCCATCAAATAAGCAGGCTTCTTGTTGTTTACCTGGAAAGGGCTCCGGAGAGCCTGGAGCTGCCCACTGGGCCTCCCCTCCCAGCAGTGCGGAGACTCATTGGCCAGGAGCAAGTGTGCTGTGCCCCTGGACAGTCCAGCCTCCTCCTGCCAGGGAAGGGGACAGCCCAGGACTAACACTCCAGCTGGACCCATCTCCTGGGACCATGCTGTTCTTGGCCACTGATGGAGGACATTGAGAATCTGTCTACCCTGAGCCCAAGCTGGCCGTCAGCCCACAGCTCTCTGGTGACTGTGTTTATTGGTGGAGTTCCTGGAGTGCCAGTCAGGCCTCAGGGTGTAAGGGAGGGACGCCCAGAATCTACCTGAGGACTCAGACCTTAGGGCCACTCCTTTGCCAAGTGACCCGCCCATTTTGAATGCATGCACACAGGCTCAATCTAATAGGCTGACCTGCTGCCATCCAACTTGGGGTGTCCTCACTGCAGAAACTGGAGCAAGCTGCTTCTCGATAGGTCGCTTCCCAGGGGGGCTCTGCTGGGGCGTCAACAGAGTCTAATGCCTGTGACTAGAATAGCAAGGTGGTTTCCTTGGCAAGCCCAGATCCAGGCGCTGTGACATGGTCATGCCAGGGCTCCAGCGGGCTCTCATCTGTCCCCTCCTCCCCCCCGACTCACACCGTCCCCAGCCTCAGCTTTGCAGTCAGGAGTCCTGCAGGACTGGGGTGTGGGGAGCCACAGCTCTTCAGACAGCATGGGACTCTGGATCTCCTGGGTCCCAGCTCACTCTTCCCTCCCAGACCCTTAAATTCTTCCGATCTGTACCCAGAGCCCCCAGCCTCCCAGCTGCCTGGCCGCCCAGCCTCCTCTTTTCCCAGATTGAGCCTGGCTCTGCTGCGGAGGGTGGATAAAGGAGCCAGGCGCCCACCTGCTCTCCAGCGGCTGCAGCTGGGATGAATCCCACAGGGGCAGATGGTAACAGCCACGGTGGGGAGCGCGGCCCTCCTCCCCAGCAGCTACGCAGGTAGGGGTCTCCACTCAGAGCAACAGGGGAGGGGAGAGGCCCTTGGGGTTCTGTCTGGCCTCAAAAAGCCCAAAGATTTGGGGTGCATCTGGGGAGGAGTGTGTCTTTGCTCCCCACTGCAATGTCAGAAGGCCCTAGAAATGCCCTGTGCCCTCATGGTTTAGAAAAGACTGCAAAGTGCACCCCGAGGCTGCCAGCTGTTCCCTGCTTCCCTTCTCTTGCATCTCACAAGGGTTACGCCACCTAAAGACCCCAGATAGCTCCATGAGGGCGGGATCTTGTCTCCTGGTCCCCCAGGTAGCCCCAGCACTTAGCTTTGCAGCCAGGTTCTCGCCAGTGTTAGCACGGAAACATTTCAGGTGGAGCAGAGAGTCGCTCCTCTGTCTATGCCAGCTCTGTACCGGGCTCCCCAGCTCCCTGAGCCTTCCCTCAGACATCTGGACCTTGGCACCAATTACTTTAGCAAAATCCGGAGGTGATCCATTTCCCAGAAGAGCTGAAGTTAGGGTAAAGTGTGGATATCCATATCATAGAGCTGGGGAGCTCAGTGTGAAGTGGCTTGTCTGGGCTGGGAAGAGAGGCAGCCAGTTAGTAACAGAGGTTCCCCTCCGCACGCACCCCAGAAAAAAGGATGTTTACTGGAAGGTCTTCAATTGTTACTTCCCACACAGGGTCAAGGCGGGGTCAGTCTTGGCTGTTTGGGGCTCTGATTGTAAAGTTCAGGAGCCTTTTCCAGGTCCCACCCAGTTCTTCCTCTTACTTGCAAATTGGATTCAGAGCCCAAGCTGGGCTAGCCCCTTCTGTCCACTCCTGCCTGCCACCTCCCAAACCACCTTTGACCTCTGACCTCTGACCTCTGCCCCTCCACCTTCGGTGTCAGACCTTGGCCTGAGAAATTCCCAGAATCCAGTAGTCCAGCCCCAGCCAGGTGGTGGTAGTTAATGAGACCATCACTGGGTGGATGGAGGGCACCTGTGCTGGCATCTCAGCGCCCTGTTTAGTCCCAGGAAGCCCTGTCTCCGCCTGCACCTGTGTTGGTTATTTGTGCTCTTGCTGCAGGGTCTGAACCAGGGCAGGAAAATGAGGGGTCCTGCGGGGTGGGAGTCTTTATTTAAAAGTTTGATATTTTGTTCACCATAGTTTTTTGGGTTTGTTTTTGTTTTTGTTTTTGTTTGTATTAATCTTGATGTTTTAAAATGTCACCCATGCTGGTCTTGATAGTACACACCTGTAATCCCAGCACTGTGAGAGGCTGAGGCAGGAGGATGGCAGTATCAAGCCCCCACAAATCAAGTCCAGCCTGGGCACTTTAGCAACTTAGCAAGTCTCTGTCTCAAAATTAAAAAAAAAAAAAAAAAAAAAGAGATTGGCAATGTAGCTCCATGCAAAGGCCCTGGGTCCAATCTAAAGTGCCCCCCAAAATAGGCCCCTAAGTATTGTTTCTTTGGGGTACTTAGTGTTCAGGACAGGCCTGAGGAGTGGCACCTGGGGCTGGCGCCTTGCCACCCTTCATCTGTGTTCTCAGCTCCCGCCTCCTGTGAGCTCCTGAGGGCCACCCTCTCTCCTTCTGCTCTCACGAGGCCCCAACCTCTGTCCCTGCTCTCCACGCAGCCACTCCACGCTTACCACAGCCCCTGGGCAAGGCAGGGCGTGACAGAGGGGCATAGGGTCCTCTGCCATGTGCCGGGCTCTGGCCCCTGACCCAGGCCTGGTGCTTAACACAAGATTCTCAATTAATGTTATCCCACTTTAGTCTCCTCCCACTCTATTTTTGCAGGAATTGAAGTCAGGGGCTTCACCCTGAGCCTTAAAAAAAAAATTTTTTTTTGTCTTTTTGAGACAGGGTCTCGCTATGCAGTTCAGGCTGGCCTTGCGCTCACTTTGTAACCCAGGCTGGTCTCGAACTCGCAACGATCCTCCTGCCTCAGCCTCCTGAGAGCTGGGATTAGACATGAGCCACCATGCCCAGCTAAAAATTTTATACCGAAATGTGGGTCTCACTAAGTCACTAAATCGCCTGGAGGGGGTGAATTTTTGCTCCTCCTGCTTCAGCCTCCCAGAGTGCTGAGATTACAAGTGTGCACCTCTATGTCCAGCTCTTCCCAAGTTTCACTTCCCACCCCGTGAACAGTGGTGGTGACCCGGTACTGATGAGGATGACACAGCACACATCTGGTGTGGCCTGCTCCACACCCAGAGCCTCCCATCCAGGGTCTCACTTCAGCTGGATGCTGTCCTGTTTTTACTGGGAAGGAAGCCGAAGCACAGGAAGGTTAAACAATTTGTCCCACCTCACTGGAACAGCATTTCTAGCCCCCAGCAGAGTTTCCTCTGGACTTTGTGGGGGGCCCTCTGACCTTGCAGGTCTGTGCTCAGAAGCCAGGCCCTGGAGTTCCTACTCGGACCCCTCAGACTCTGCGTTGGAGGAAACATATCAGGGGCCACTCCTGTAACTCCAGTCCTCTGGGAGGCTGAGGCAGGATGATGGAAAGTTTGAGCCCAGCCTGGGCAACTTAGAAATACCCTGTTTCCAAATAAAACAAATTTAAAAAGAGGTGGGGGTGGGGAAAGCAGACGCTGAAATGGGGTGGGCTTGACTCCCATCTCTTAGGAACTTGGGCTTCGGGACCCCTCACTCAGGGCCTAGCGGCCTCTTCGCGCCTGACAGGGTCTGCCGGTACTTCCAGCTCGGCTTCTGTTTCCATGGAGACAGATGCAGGTAGGGCCCCTCCTCCGGGGCTGGGAGGGCACAGGGGATGCACCAGGGTGGGGGTGGGGCGGGCATCATCCATCTCCCTCCTCTTCTGTCCCCGGCAGCTATCAGCACCTGTTGCTCTCCCGCCCCCTGGAGTGGGGTCGCCGCTATTCAGCACCGCTTGTCCCCGTGCAGGGGCCCTGGCTAGGACTGACCCGCAGGGCCTCGGAACCCAGCTTCCTGCCCTCCGCGCCTGTGAGCTGGGCCTGGGGCTGGACCAGGGCCCAGTTGGCCAGCGCACTGGGCCTGCATGAGGCTCCTGGCAGCTCCCGGAGGTCCCTGTCTGCAGCATGTGAGTCTCTTTGGGAGCAGCTGGTGGACACTGGCAGATGGACATGGAGAGCAGGGCCTCTGATTTTCCTTTCCACTCCTCCCACTCCTCAAGGTCTCAGCGCAAGCACTGTTTGCTCTCTCTCTGTTGCTCTCTTGTGTTTTAGAAGGAAAATCACACAGTGCCCGTGGGGCCAAGGTACCTGACTTCAAACAGGAGCCGTGTTTATCTCGCGAGAGCCACCTAACCTCTCCGTGGCTCTGCCCCCATCTATAAAAGGGCGCTGTCAGGGCTGGGGATTTAGCTCAACGGAATAAGCGCCTGCCTTGCAAGCGTGTGGTTGTGAGTTTGATCCCCGGTACCGATAAAAAAATAAAAGGACGCTGTCATCTATAAAATATGAACAATTAAAATGAAAAAGAAGAGGACATGGACAGTAGTACTCCTGTCACAGGGTCACTTCAAGGGTGTGATGTCTTCACATGTGTGACACACTTACTGAACAAAGGTCTCACTATGTCCCCCTGCCTGATGCTGAACTCATGGAAGTCCTCCTGCCTCAGCTTCCCGAGTGCTGGGATTACACGGTATATCACCATGCCCAATTTGGTTTTTATGCAATTTAAAATTTTCTAGTAGCCACATTTTTAAAAAGGAAAAGGCGACTTTTTAAAGAAATTGATTTCAACTGTTTTGAAATTAATTTTAGTACTTTATTTATCCCAATGTATCAAAAGTCATATACCCAATATTGTCAATGTTATCATTCTCACTTGCCACCAGTATAAAATGTCACTAACAAAGTATTTTGGTCTTTTATTGTGCTGAGTTTCAGAATCCTACATAGGTTTTTCATTCAGGTGACCTGTCAATTGGTACCCATTCTGGTCATTCAGTAACCATACTCACATTGGGTATGGTAGCACACACCGGTGATCTGAACTTTCAGGAAGGCTGAGGCAAGATGATCCCGAGTTTGCACTCAGCCTGAGCAATTTTAGCAACTTGGTGAGACCCTGTCTCAAAATAAAACATTAAAAAAGGGCTGAGAGGCTAGCTATGGTGGTGTTTGTCTGTAATCCCAGCACTGGGGAGGCTGAGCAGGAGGATCATTGCAAGTTCAAGACCAGCCTGGGCTACAAAGTGAGCTCAAGGTCAACCTGAACTTCATGTTTTGAAACCATGTCTCAAAAACACCCAAAACAGCAGGCAGGAGCTGGGAATGTAGTTCAGGGCAAAAGCCCTGCATTCGGTGTCCAGTACTGAAGAAAAAAATAAAAGCCACATCCAGGTGGTGGTGACTGTATTGGACAACGCAGGTCTGGATGCCCACGTGAGAGGCTGCAGATCCTGAGCGTTGTGCTACCCATGGCATGTGAACGGGTGGTCAATCTATTTCCCTCACAGCTGCTGCCAGGGACCCCAGCCACGCCCAGGAGCCTCAGCCTGGCTTGCACCTTGTCCAGGAGCTCTCGAACACCTTGCAGAGACTGGACCTGGCAGAGGTAGCAGGCTTGGATGGCAGAGGGCGGCACATGAGGGCTCAGGGGAGAGTGGCCTGTGGAGAGAGCCCACAGGGCTGGGCTGGGTTCGGGACAGTGGCGGGAGGGTGTCTGATACTTTTTGTGGCTGCAGGACTTGGTGGGGGACCCTCAGGGCCAGCAGGACAGCCGGGACGTGGTGTGCGGCATCTGCAGGGACAGAGTATGGGACAAGCCTGAGCCTGAGAGGGTCTTCGGCATCCTGCCCAACTGCAGCCACCCCTACTGCCTGGGCTGCCTGCGTACCTGGCGCCAGACCCTCAGCCTGCCGCCAACTGTCATCAAGTCAGTGTCTCTGGGGACGCCTGAGAGGTGTGGGTCACAGGGCAGGCTGGCCTGTGGAATTGTGACCGTCCCCACCTTTACCCTGCCCACCCCCATGCAGGGCCTGCCCCCAGTGCCGAATCTACTCCAGCTACATCATCCCCTGCAAGGTCTGGGTGAGTGCCGGACCCCAGAAGGAGCGGCTCATCCGGGACTTCACGGCTCGGACCCGGTGAGGCTGGTGGAGGAGGTGGGCAGGCGTTGGACTGCCAGCCTGGGCTCCTCAGTCTGCTCAGACAGAGATGGCAGCGGGTGTGACCTACTGGTGGGAGTCTCTCAGGAAGGGCAGGGCTGGGTCTTTCCTAACCCAGCTCAGATCACACCCTGAGGCCCCTCGGTGCTGGGTCCTCTGGGGACCAGGCCAGACCTGCTTGGCTCTGCATCCAGTTCCCCCTCCCTCCATGACTGCCTTCCTTCCTTTCTCCAGTCCTGGGAATTGAACCCAGGACCTTCGCACTGAGCTACATTCCGAGCCCTTTTTATCTTCTATTTTGAGACAGGATCTTACAAAGTTTTAAATTCCTCAGGCTGGGCTCTAACTTGCCATCTACCTGTCTCAACCTCCCATAGTACTAGGATGACAGACATGGGCCACCAGGCCTGACTCTCCCCAGGGATTGTGACAGCTGACATATGCAGTGTGTCGGGATTCAGGGTGGGGTCAGGAAACAGGTCTCACCCCTTACTGGAAGACAGTCACCCTTGTCCTGCAGACAGAGGAGTCTAGAGCCCTTGTTAGGGCAGTTACTAAGCAAAGGAGAGCAGGTGGCAGTCTGAATTGGGTGTGGGGAGGAGAGGGGGATGGAGGCTTGACTTAGGGTTCAAAGCTGCTTCTATGAAGAAGTGGTTGGACAGGGAGGCCAGAACTGGATGACCAAGTGACAACAGAAGATTATTGTTTCTTGCACAGCTGTTTATGCCATTATGGGGGGGGGGTGGCTAAAGACCAGAGGCTGGGAGGGATTTGCATGGAGCTGTCCATGTCGAGGTGGTCCTGGCCCTGGATTTGATCTGATGGTAGAAAGAGAAGGGATGGTTGTTTGCAGGGATTTCTGGACTCCTGCCCTGGGTCCATGCTGGGTCTCAAGAAGCAAGAAGGGTTCAGCTGCATTCTTGGTCAGCAGAGAGGAAGAAGGCTAGGTAAAGGGTACCAGCCTGTGCTCTGCCCACTTCTTGATTGGTTCTTTCGGTGCCAGGAAAAATCAGTCTCATCCAGGCAAGGTAGCACAAACCTATAATCACAGCACTCAGGAGGCTGAGGCAGGAGGATCATGAGTTGGAGCCAGTGTGAGCTACATAACGAGACTGTGTCTCAAAAAATAAATAATCTGCAACTCTTTGCAACTTTCTCCTGAACCTGGCCTTTCAGAGTAAGACTCATCTGAAGTCTACCTTGCAGCCCAGTACTATTCTAACTTGTTTTCTTGTCTTGTTTTTATTCTTTTTGAGACGGGGAGTCTTGCTATATAGTTCAGGCTGGCCTTGAATTCACTATGGAGCCAGGCTGACCTCGAATGCCCAGTGATCCTCCTGCCTCAGCTTCCCAAATGCTAGGATTACAGGCATGCACCACCATGCATGCCCAGGTTTTAATTTGATTGCTGAGACACATCCAAGGCTGATCTATGGTCACCCCTCCTTTGGTATTCTTACTAAAACTTTTTTGAAGGAAAGGAGGTTCCTGGGGCCCCTGCTGGTCTCAAGAATTAGAGAAAGGCAGCTGTAAGTCACTTCACTGCCATCTGCTGGAATCTGGTGGAACCAGTGTCAGCCACAGGATGACCCAGTTGTGCTGGCTTAGATGGATGCTTTCCTGTCCTATACAACCGGCCCAACCTCAGGGGTCAGCTTTGAGGGCCCCTTGTTCCTGGAACAAGAACTCAAGGTGATGGTCTTTCTCTCTCTCCTGTAACTAGCCAGATCCAGTGCCGGTTCTTCATGCAGGGGAATGGCTACTGCCCCTTTGGATCCCGATGCATCTACCTGCACCAGCTCCCTGAGTCAGCGCTGGCCTCAGCTTCTCTCTGGCCTGAGATGGTGCGGCTGGTTCAGGCCAGTGATTTGGGACTCAGACGTAGGGGTCTATAATGCAAGCCCCTGATGACTGCAAACCTCTGTTGTAGGTGCCATGGAGGGGATAGATGGTCGCTAGACCCAATGTGGCTCCACAGTTCTGTGTCCAGCCCCCATCCCAGCCCCTGGGGTGAGCCCTGTTCCCTGTCGCTGGGCCCCTGCGGCTGAAGCTGGTCCTTCTCTCCCCTCACAGGTGCTGGGCTCAGAGTTGTCTTTCCCAGGCTGTACCCTGGCTCTGCCCCTCTGGGTCTCCAGCTCCTGCTGGATCTTAGCAGTTCCTACTAGCGTGGCCTTCTGCATGGGCAAGGGACAGGGTGTAGGTGGCAGGCCTTCCCCTTGTGGTTTGGTGGTGGGAAAGGAGCAGGTCCTCTACTTACAGCTGGGGATGTGAGGCGAGAGGGCTCCCAGGATGAAGGAGGCTCTTGATGCTCATCAGGGCCTGGGTTTTTAGCTTTGCTCTTTTGTAGGACTTGGAAAGGAAATCAATAAAATGCACCTAATGCATGACTGTGAGTTCTGCAGAGTGGTCAGCTCCTACCCTCCCTGCATCAGAGCAAGGTTGCCACTGCTTACTGTCTCTTGCTTCCATTATGGTCACGTGCTGTCTGCAAAGCATTGCTGGACACTTGTAAGAGGATGACAGTGGAAGGAACAAACACCTTTTAAACCCAGAGCCTTTATGCTGAGCTACATCCCAGTCCTTCTTTAATTTTTATTTTGACACAACAGTTTCACTAAGTCACTAAGTTGTCTAATTGATCTGGTGATCCTCCTGCCTCAGCCTCCCAGAGTATTGGATTACATATTTGTGTGATCAGTGTCCAGCAAGTAACATCACAAACACCAGCAAAAACAGTAAGGGCCTCAAGAAGTCTGGGGAAGGGTCTCAAGACACCCTCCCTCCCCAGATTGAGAATTCTCTCTGCCTATCTCCTTGCAGATAGCTAGAAACCAGACTGTGGCAGCTGCAGCCTAGTGATAGAGAGGGAGGCTGTACTTGAGGTTGGCAGGACAGTGCCACCCTCTCTATGGCATACACAGCCCCACCTGCTGCTTGCCAGCCCCTGCCTTCGCCATATGGTCAACCTCCCCTTTGAAGTTAGAACTGCCCAACTGGAATAGACAGCGCCTGGAAGAATCTAAGACACTAAGAAATATTCCTGAGTCTTTCCCAAGAGTTCCATTAGAATTATTCTAGAAAAAAAAATGAAATAACATTCGACTTCAGTAGAAATCAGATGAAGCTCAGAATACTCCGCAGGCTTCCGCGCTGTGCTGAGTGAAAGCCTAGGTGCGCTGAGACCTGTCTGCGCTCATCTGCAGCAAGTGCTGGAGCTCCAGCCACGCTGCTGCCCCCTGCAGCTTGGCTTGGCTTCTCGCTCTGTCTCAGAAGGTCTCCTATAGACTCCTGTCAGGCTCGCTGACCTCCTCCCCTCGGTTCCCCTTGCCTGATCACCCGTTTAAAAGTACAGTATCTCCCCAATGTACGTGCCCTGGAACGCGCTTCTCACAGTCAACATCCTGCCCGCTCGCTTATTTAGCTTTATTTCTCCTTGCCTAGTGGGCAACAGGAGGGCGATGATCTGCCCTTGCTTCCCTGTGCCTGAGTTCCCACTTGACTGTCAACACCCTCTCCCTTCTTCCTGCTCTGCAGGGAGCCTCCAGCTGGCCTCCTCTAGTCCGCCTTAAACCCCGGCTCAGGGAGGCAGGGCCACTCCTGTGAGCCGTGAGAATGACGCTGTTGCCCTGCGCGGGAGCAAGGGCTATGACCACAAGGATGTTAGTGGGCTTCGCCGCGACCCCGTCCTCAGGATCAAATATTTCCAACTGTTAGCAGTTTTTGGCCTGTGTGGTTAATGGGAGTCTCATAGCAAAGCCCATAATCTGCAAGCGACAAGGGTGATAGCTAAAATTAAACACAGCCTGGAGTCCTAAGCTCACAAGACCCTGACATCTGCCCTGCCCCACAGTTTGGGAGAGCGCTCAGGAAGAAGCTTGCAGTCAGCAGCAGCGCACCCGCCCCTCCCTAAGCCCCGCCCCTCAGTCAGCCCCGCCCCAGCCCCGCCCACAAAGTCTAGTCTCTGAGGTCCGACTGCACTCACGAACCAATTTTTCGTTCCGGCCCCGCCCCTAGTCCCCCACCAGCTCTCTGATTGGGTGTTTTCTGATAGACCCCGCCCCTTCCGGAGTGTGGCGCACCTCTCCTCCTCTGGTCCCACCCCCTCCTTCCTTTACTGTCCGCGCGGGAACACGAATCCCTCGGGCGCAGGAAGGGTACTGCGGCATGGCTACACCGCAGGCGGCTCCTCCTGGGGCTGAGGGCGCAGAACCGTCGCCATGGGCACCCCTCGAGGCCCCCGCCCGCTTGCTACTGCAGGCGCTGCAGGCCGGGCCTGACGGGGCACGGCGGGGCCTCGGGGTGCTGCGAGCGCTAGGCCGCCGCGACGGGGAGCCCCTCTGCTGGGGCGGCCTTCTGGGGGCGCTGTGCCAGGAGGAACCGGTGCTGCCGTGCCCTGGCGGCCGCCTGGAGCTGTAAGTCCCCGTCGGAGCCTGGAGAGGTTAAGTCTTCCCCAGGGCGAGGGGAAGAGGGGCCCGCTGTGGGCGTAATTGTAAGTGGAGTTAAATCAACTTTGACTTTGATCTAATACTTCTACCTCTAAAAACCTGGAGCGTAGCCGAGCACATCTGTAATCTGGAGGCTGAGGGAGGAGGATCACCGCCAGTTCCATGCCAGCCTGAACTCCATACTGCATTCAAGGGCATGCTGAACTACACAGTGAGACTCTGTCTCAAAACAAAATTGCACGTACTGTTGCTGTTAAGTATACTCATATAAAGTGTTGAAATTACATACAGCATCCTGGAACATTATTTTTGCCTGAAATATGGAAATAGACTTATTTTGCTACTGGGAATTGAACTGAGGACCTTGAATTTGTCATGTAGTTGCTTTGTCACTGAGCTAAATTCGTGGCCTTTTTTTTTTTTTTTTTTTCCTTTTTGAGACAGGGTCTCGTTGTGCAGTTCATTCAGGCTGGCCTTGAGATCACTTTATAGCCCAGGCTGGTCTCAAACTTGCCGCGGTCCTCCTGCCTCAGCCTTCTGAGTGCTGGGATTGCAGAGATGTCACCAGCTGGAAATGGACTTTTTTTTATAACATAAATGTGGACCTATTAGAGAGTAGGTTCCAACGTTGAATTTTTTTTTTTATGAAATAAAAGCAGTTCAAATAGCAGGACAGGTGATAAAGGATGTTCAGTGAACGCTTGTCAGTGGCTCTCAGGCTATCCTTTCTCCATCCGCTTGGCCTCATCCATAGCTCCCTTTAGCGGGATGCTCTGACTGCTTTCTCTCCCTCTGTCACCCAGGAGGCCACTGCTGCTGTGCCTGCCCCAGTTCTGCCAGAAGAACCTGCTGTCCCTGCTGATGGCTGTCTGGCCATCACTGCCTCAAAGCCAGCTCCTGGCCATGCTGCAGATCACCCAGCGGGACTTCAGGTCTGCCCCTGATGCCTGGCTCCAGGCCCTAGGGAAATTGTTGCAAAGAGACCTTGGGCCCGGTATCTCCATGGAGAGAGCCTCTGTGCTGTCCAAAGGATGCCAGGCACAGCTCCAAAGCCTTTGTAAGCAGCTGGGCCAGGGAGGCAGGGGGCTGAAACCGCCCCAGGCTCCAGACCCTGAAGGAGAAGAGGAGGACAGGGAGTCCCAGCAACGAGGGAAACACAGGAAGGAGCCAGAGGGAGCAACTGCCAGTCCTGATGGGGAAAGGGCCCCCAAAAGGTTCCGAGTAGGGGAAAGCGAAGAGGAAGATGCTAATGAGGAGCCAACAGAAGCCCTGGAGGATAGAGGAGCATCACCCAGGAGGAGCCAACCTGGCCCCAGCGAGGGAGCCGCGCCCCGTGGTACTCTCCAGAGTCCCAGGGAGGTGCAGGGCCCAGCAGCGACTGTGGAACTGCCCAAAGCCCTCCAGGTCCAGTGTGGGGAGGCCTGATTTGGACCCATCATTTAGTACTGAGGTGTTATCCGTGGGGCGAGCTGGCGGGGGGCTTTCCTGAGTGGGATAACCCTGTGGTCCGTGGACTGAGGGTGGGAAGGCGTGAGGAGAGGATCAGGAAGGGGGCTGTGGGAGGTAGAAACTTTGTCCTGATGATCTAGAATGTGGGCTGTGGAAGGGCGTGCATGAGGGGAGGCCTATCCCCCAGTACCTAGCCCCCACTCTCTGCCCAGGGCAAATCTGCCTCCTCAGGGGGTCAGTGCACAGAAGCCCTGTCTAATGGGAACCTTACCCCTTTTGCAAGGTGGGGTCCATGTTCTTGGCACTTTTGAGTCTTTTTTTTTTTTTTTTATCTGAGACAGGGTCTCTCACTATGCAGTTCAGGCTGGCCTTGAGCTCACTTTGTAGCCCAGGCTGGTCTCAAACTTGCAATGTTTCCCCAGCCTCAGCCTCTCAAGTGCTGAGATTATAGGTCTGTGCCACCACACCTGGCTTCTTGAGTGATTTTTGACCGTGTTGTACTGCTAGCAGCACTGGGAAGGGGTTCAGGAATGCTCTGTGGGGCAGGGACTTGGCAGTGACCTGCCTGTCTCCCACAGGACCAGGTGCCCAGGCTGCAGCAGCTGCTGAAGACCTTTGGGGAGGTGAGTGGCCCTGGCGTGCACACAGTAGCCCTTGATCCACTTTCTGTCAGCGCACAGGCTGGTGGGGGAGGCAAGGCTGCAGGGGCGCAGCCAATCCTAGGTGTGGCCCTGTCCTGCCAGTGCCTTTTAGGATCTCAGCCACTCACTGCCAGTGGAAGGGGTGGCCTCTGGGACTTGTTACCAGGATGTCTACCAGGCCTGTCAGGGCTTTGCCTCCACAGGGATTGGAGGGGCTGGAGGACACCCCCCCAGCTGAGCTGCAGCTTCTCCACGAGTGCAGTCCCTGCCAGGTAAGAGCAGGAAGCCTGTCTGGCCCTGAGGGTGTAATGTCCCCTTCCCCACCTTTGCCTGTTTGTGTTTCTCTGCTTCCTGTGAGAATTCCAGAGAGCATTTGATCTTCTCTGTCTCTGGAGTAGGGGTCACTCAGTGGTTCTGAGCCCAGTGTCCTGCCAGGTGAGCAGGGCAGTTCTTATCACCTTATCTTGCCCTGGAGCACTCTTGCTCTGCCCCTCTGGCCACTTGGCTGGTGCCAGCCTCGCAGAGCCAGACGGAGCCTTTGTGTCTTCCCCTCCTCTGGCAGGTGGAACGGCTCTGTGCCCAGCTGCAGCTCTCGGATGCCGGCCTCCTGCGGCTCTGCACCTGGCTGCTGGCCCTGTCCCCAAGTCTCAGCATTTGCAATGCTACCGTGCTGGCCAGGAGCCTCTTTCTGGGACGCGTAGGTGCTCTGGGAGTGCTGGGGACAGCTGGGCGGGTCTGAACCCATGGGAGGGGGTGCTGGGGTGACAGCATCCTGGCCCTGCAGGCAATCTGAGAAGCCTGGGGCCCAACGGAGAAGCCTGGGGTCAACTAGAACTCTGTCCCTGGTCAGCTACCCATGTGGTTCTTTTTTTGCCCCAGAACTTTCCAGAAGTTGACAGACTTTTGAGGATTTGGGAGCTGGGGTTGGGAGCTCTTCCTCAGGGTGGGTTCACATGAGTCCTCAGTAAAAGAACTGGCTTCTCTATCATAAAGTATATCAACATCTGAGAGATATGTCTGATAACTTTATTGAAGGCTGGGTACAGTGATGCACCCCTGTAATCCCTGCACTCAGGCTGAGGCAAGAGGATTGCAAGTTTGAAACCAGTCTGAGGAATTCAGCAAATTTAATGAAACCTTGTCTCAAAATTTAAAAAAAATTTATAAAAGGGCTGGGGAGGGCTGAGTATTTAGCTCAGTGGCATAAGCACTTGCCTGGCAAGCGTGAGGTCATGAGTTCGATCCCTGGCACCAAAAAAAAAAGGCTGGGGATGTAGCTCACTGTAAAGGTCTGGGGTTGAATCCCCCATACCTCATGCGTGCACACACACACACACAATAATAATTTAAAAATAAATATAAAAATGGAAATGGTGAGGTACAACCCCCAAATACTAAAAAAGATAGTATTGAAGAGAAGAGGACTGAGTTTCTGTTTGATCGTCACTGCAGATCCTCGGTCTGACCTCCTCAGCCTCCCGGCTGCTCAGAGCCGCGCTGACCTCCTTCTGTGCCGGTCACCCTTACCCCGTCTGCAGCACCCTACTTGGCCCTGTGCTCCAGGCTGCGGGCACAGGTAACTGGAACCAGCCCTGAGCACCAGCCTCTGCCCCCTTCCCAGCTCCTGTACCCACACCCAGCCCAGCCCTGGCAGAGCTGGGTGTTCAGTAACGGTGCCTGCTACGGCCCTGATGATGCCCTTGATTCAGCCGGGCCTTCTCCTCCTCCTGATGTCTCCTCCCTGTGCTTTGCCAGGCCCAGCACAAACAGAGCTGCTGTGTCACCTGATGAAGGACGAGTCCCTGGAGCCAGATGCTCGTGCCCTCATGCTGGGGTGAGTGTGCGGCTCTGTGCCTTGCAAGTCCATCTTCTCCCCGAGGCCAGGCTCCTCCTGCCACTGCTGCCATGGGATCCAGCTAGACCTTGACCTGTGCCTCCAGGGGGCCTTGTCCCTGGGCCTGCACACTCACCTGCCTTGTGCCTCGAACCTTGCCGGCCCAGCGCTACAGTCTTCCCAGCTTCCCAGCCCTGTGGACTGCAGGGCTGGCCTGTGAGGAGAAGCAGCTCGGTGCCAGAGCTCGAGAAAGGCTGGGCTGTGCTCACCAGGCCGCTGCTTTGCAGGCAGATCCTGGAGCTGTCCTGGACGGAGGAGACGTTCTTGGTATTGCAGGTGCTCCTGGAACAACAGGTGATCAACTTCCTTGGAGATAGAAGGGCAGAGGCTCTGGGGGATGCAAGTCTTTGGCTGATGAAAGGGCAGGTGGGACAGCTGCCCTCCAGCAGAGCACCTGCGACAGTGGGAGACCCTACAGCTTACAAGGCTGGGAACAAAAAGCTGACCACACGGTCTGTCCAGGTCTGCCTGTTCCTAGCTGTGGGCCTCGTGGCAGGCTTTTTTGATGTGTATATGCATTTAATTTTTGATTGGGTGAGAAAATTATGCAGTTACACAATTATTTCTATCGTAGTCACTTTATCACCGAAACCTAATACCAGACATGTGCAACTTAAGGAGAGGTTGGTTTTGGCTCAAGGTTTCAGAAGTCTCAGTCCACGTGTGGCTGGTGACTCCCAGGCAAGGACAGCATGAAGGAAGGACCTCGGAGGAGGAAAGGTGCTCCTGTCATTGCAGCCAAGCAGCAGAGAGAGAAGGGAAGAGTCAGGGAGGGAGACAGACCCTTCCAGGTCACACCCACTGTGACCCAGGGTCCAGCTCCCACTGGCACCTTCAGCTCTGAACTCACGGGGGATTGATCTGATGAGTGTGACACCTCCATGATCCAGTCGCTTTTCTGAGGATGTGAGGCTTTGGGGGAACACTGCAGATCCAAACCAAAATATAATCTATCTGTCTTGTCAGTCTATCTTTCTAGCTATCTATCTACCTACCTACCTATCTACCTATCTGCCTATCGCTCCATCTATCCATCTATCCATCTTATCTATTTCACCTGTCCATCCATCCATCCATCCATCCATCCACCCACCCATCCATCCATCCATCCACCCATTTGGTACTGGGGATTGGTAGCCAGTATGCAGAGTGGGTGCTGCGCCCAGCAGCACCCTCAAGGTCATGCTGCTAATAACCTAACTCCCTCCCACAAGACCCCCCACCTGCCACCTGGGAACCAAGCCTTCAGCACCTGGACTTTTGGGGACATTCCAGAGCCACACTGAGAGAACTCTTGGATAAGCTTCCTGCTGGGCTTACCCAGCTAGGAAATGGGGGTGCTGGGAACTGAACCCAGGGCTGGCTGAATAAAGAGCTGGGCCCTTCTTCTGTCGCCCAATACATGCAGGTGGAGATGACTCCTGAGAAGTTCGCTGTGCTCATGGAGAAACTCTGTAAAGCAGGGCTGGCAGCCACCACCTCCATGGCCTATGCCAAACTCATGCTGACCGTGATGACCAAGTACCAGGCCAGTGTGAGTGTCAACAGGGTCACTGGATGGGTCCCACTGGCAAGGCTGCTTTGGGCCTGCCAGACAGGATACAGATTATTTGCGAAAGATAAAACCCTGCAGTGTTTGCCAAGGAAAATACATGTTCACGCGCAGAATGTGGGTGTGGGGGTTGGGTCTGCCTCGGGGTTCAGCATCTCCCTCAGTCTGGTGCGTGCGGAGCACCAGGGGAGCGATAGTGACCATGATGTGGTCCCTCACCTTGAATGACCGTTCCCCAGCCCGGGCTCATGAGGGGGACACACATGGTCATCGGGTACAGTGTGGGGTAGTCAGCGGAGAGCACAGGGCAGCTGAGCCCTGCTGCAGCTGTGGCCTGGGGCGGCTGCTCTGGGGTGGAGGCAGGAAGGGCCTGCGGGGCCAGGGGTGTGCGTGGGCAGTGTGCTCCGAGACACGCCATGGTTGGGGCCTGATGACATGGGAGTGGCGGGGACAGGATGGGGTTGGAGAGTGAACGTGAGGTTGGAGAGCAAACAGTTCTCGCCTTGCCCTGCTGGGCACAGCTCTGAGCCCTTGATGTGTATGAACTGGCTAGGACTCTATGGGCGTGGGCGTGACACTGCCATCAGCTCTCTCGTGGCAGGCTTTTTTGATGTGTATATGCATTTAATTTTTGATTGGGTGAGAAATTTATGCAGTTACACAATTATTTCTATCTTAGTCACTTTGTCACTGAAACCTAATACCAGACATGTGCAACTTAAGGAGAGGTTGGTTTTGGCTCAAGGTTTCAGAAGTCCCTCTCTCTTGTTCTCTTATTTCTTATTATAATCAAATATTGTGTCTTGTAATCCCTTAAAATAGTGTCATACAGTGGCTGGGGATTTAGCTCAGCGGCATAAGCGCCTGCCTTGCAAGCAGGCAGTCGTGAGTTCGATCCCCGGTACCGATAAAAAAAAAAAGACAAAAAAAAAAATAGTGTCATACCAATATTGTAATCCCTTTTCCTGCCCACCTCATGTAGTCTGCAAAGTTTTTTTTTTTTTTTTTTTTTTTTTTTTGTCTTTTTCCTAAAGAGCTAAATCCCCAACCCCGGAAAGGTATATTTTTAATCCCACTGATATGTTGTTGGAATCCCGGTGAATTAATTTTAATTTATCACCTCCAGTGCAACCCACAGCGAGCGTAAAGACACTAAATATATTCACAGTTACAGGCAGCCAAGGGGTCCTGAGTCTGGTCCAGGTGAGGATACACAGAACAAAGGCTCTGATCTAAGGCCTCCCCCAGAATTTATTATCTTGTGAAGAAGGGAGTGGTTGAGGATGGGTGACAGTGAGGATGGCAGGCATTACATGAGGGACATGAGCTGAGCTGGCCAGGTGGGGAGAAAGCACTTCTGGTATATGCGGGGAGAAAATACACAGTCTGCGCAACCCAATTAGGGTAGCATTTGAATGTTTTAGGAGTCTGTTGTTTTAGTTTTTGATATGTAAACTTTTGTGTCCTGGGAAGTCATAGCTTCTTAAATGGAGGCTGGAACCCAGCTGGCATTCCTGGAGCTATGTGGCTCTGCCATCTCTCTGTGCTCAGTCATTTATGGGGAACAGGACGTGAGGAAACAGGAAACCATCAGGTGGCCTCAAGGATGACATGGCAGTACCTCAGCCGGCCGGCCTTGCCTTGCTCAGGGCCAACTGAAGGGGGAAGGAGAGAGCATGGCCAGCTCTGTACGTGTCAGAACACGGAGACAGGGCCCGGGTTAGCTAATGGGGAAGTAATAGCTCTGCATTCAAGGAGAGCCGTCCACAAGGTTCTGTCTGTCGTTTTCTTTCCTGAGATGGGGTCTTGCCATGTTGCTCAGGGCTGGTCCTAAACTCCTGGACAACAAGATCCTCCTGCCTCGGCCTCCCTAGTAGCTGGGACTACAGGTGCACACCATCGTGGCTGGCAGCTCCGTTTTATAGATGATGAATTAAGACTCAGGTTAAAGGAACCTGTTCAAGGTCTCAGACCAGCAGCATTTTACGGAGGGCCCTGTAGGTCATGGGCTGCAGCTTTCTCTCATTTTCTCTTGAGGGTCATATGTCCTTGACTGTTGGTGCTGTACTTTCTTTCTTTTTCTTTTCCTTTCCTTGCTTCCCTTCTCTTTTCCCCTCACCTCCCATCTTCTCTCCTTCAGGGTCACAGCAATATAGTTCAAACTCATTATGTAGCCCAGGTTGGCCTTGAACTCATGATCCTCCTGCCTCAGCCTCCTGAGTCAGGGCTGGGATTATAAGAGCTGGCACCAGTACCCTTTGCTGGTGTTTTATCTTTTTCTTGAGGGTCACAGGCACAGGGTCATTTGTCAATGTCATGAAATCTGCTGTAGACCCAGAGACATAGAAACAGCCATGCATCTGACGCACATTCAGGGCCCGCTTCTCCCTGCCTGGTCCCTGAGTCCTGGCTTCCTCTCCGTCCTTCAGCACAGCCTGAGGGTAGAGGTCTGGAGAATGACATGTACCGGATCCTGACAGATGCTCCCTTGTCCCCAGATCACCGAGACTCAAAAGCTGGCGCTGGCTGTGGCCCTAGAGCCCAACACCACCTTCCTGCGGAAGTCCCTGCAGGCTGCCCTGAGACGCCTGGGCCGCTGACCACCGGTCACCCTCCTGGAGCAGCAGCGTCACCAGCTTCTGAAGGACATTTCTGCCCTGGCCGTCTTTTCCTTGCCCCTTTGCCTCAGGGTGAAAGCACAGCCAGGAGTCCTCGGGGTCAGCCTCCTCCGTGGACCAGAGGCTTGGAGGCTCAGGCTGCAGGATGCGGACTTCCTGAATAGTTTACTTGTGGGATTTAATAAACAGCAGGAAGCTCAGTGACTCCTGTTAGAAGCAGCGTCTGCCTTGCTGTTGACCGGGGTGTGTTGCCCCTTCCCCACCCTCCGCTTGGTGATGAGGTGCTTTCTTCCCAGGGAGGGAAGTTTGCAGAGTGTTGATTCTGAAATTCATTCACATTTTGTGGCGCCACCCACAGTAGGCCCGCATAGGTGAGGTGCTCAGCCACCAATGGAGGGGATCAAAGTGGGGGCTTAAAGCTTGAACGGAGTCTGGCATTGAGGAAGGGTTAGGTGAGTGGCACGGAAGGGACCGAGGGGCTCTCCTGGGGGACCGTGAGCTGAGAAGAGGATGGGACCCATTGGGCAGAAATGGGCGTGCAGTGCCCCCACCACACCCCGTGAGGCCACAAGTTCACTATAGCACGCTCCCTCCCCTCCCCCACGCAGGTGTAGGGGCAGAACTTCAGGGGCACTTCCTGGGGATCCCTGAGTTTGTTACAGCAAGATGGCCAGGGAGGGAGATCAGGCTGAAGGATAAAGCTTGGTTTTATTTATTTGTTTATTTTTTGGTACTATGGATCGAACTCACCACCTTGTGCTTAGCAGTCAAGCTCTTAAGCCACTGAGCTAAGTCCTGGCCCCAAAGCCTAGTTTTGAGCACAGAGGTCGAGGCAGAGCGCAGGAAGAGATGGGCAGAGATTTAAAGGGCAAATGTACCACAGTCACCCGCTGCCACAGCCTTCACAGGGCTGTGCCCAGGCTGTGTACTTACATGTGATCCTGAGCGCCAGCCCTGGCCATAGCACTGCACCCTCGTCCACCTGCTCCCCCAAGGCCAGTGAAGGCAAGAGACAAGCTACTGGGGCAAGAAGGTGACTTTAGTGAAGCTTTGACCAGGAAGATGGATAGAGACTGTGGTCTGAAGTCCATCTTTCCGGGAGGCTGATGAAGGGGCGGTTTATACAGGACACACGGGACAGCATATTGGTGGGCACTTTCTCCCAGCTGTGGCCAAAGGGCAGGCATCAGATGCTGAGCCTAATCCTAGCCATTAATGCTTTTCCAGTGCTGCAAAGGTCAAGAGCATAAGCAGTAATTTCCCCGGGCTGTTCTTGTGACTGGTAAGCATGCCGACCCAAAACTCCCAATGTCTCGCACCCGGATGGTGCACCGGAAGTACCTGCCTCAGGCTCTCTGACCTGATGGCACCAAACTCAGGAATGAAAAAAAACAGTTCGCCCGATTATTGTGCAAGACGGAGGTCACGAGGTTAAATAAGGGGTCCAGCACGATATGAGGACTCCACATTCGGCCTCAGACTCCGGCCTTTAGCTAAGAGCCAAGCGGGCAGCAGCTGGGCACCTGGGAAGGTGTCCTGGACAGGAGTTCCACTCGTACCAAGGGTTTCGCAACGCATCGCAGGAGCGCCCTCCAGTGGCCGTACCCGGTAGTACCTCTTACGGCGGAGAGCCCGGCCCATTTTCCCGTCGTAGTCCGCGGAAGCAGTAAATTTGTCGCGAGAGCAGGACCATTATTTCTGCGCATGCGCGAGGTTTCTAACTTCTTTTCCGGTTATCACAGCGCGAGGAATCATGAGGTAACTTGTCTGTAGGGGGCTATCCGCGCCCATCTGCGGTTCTAGGGGACCTGCCGGGAGCTTTGGCGCCGGCAGGCTATTTCTTGCACTGGGTGGGTCCCTGCAGGCCGTTTCCCGCCGTGTTCTGGGCCTGTCTCCTTACACGGTGCTCGGAGGTCACGCGGAGCGGGGAAGAAGGGCTCGGGTCAGCAGGGGGTCGGGGAAGGAGGCCGCGGCCGCCGGCCGGCTCCGACGCGCTCGCTCTTCTGCAGCAGCAAAGTCTCCCGCGACACGCTGTACGAGGCGGTGCGCGAGGTCCTGCACGGGAACCAGCGCAAGCGCCGGAAGTAAGCGGGGCGCCCGGGACGGGGGTCGGGGAGGGGAGGCGGGCGCCGGCGGCGCGGTGACGCCGTCCGTTCCCGAAGGTTTTTGGAGACCGTGGAGCTGCAGATCAGCCTGAAGAACTATGACCCTCAGAAGGACAAGCGCTTCTCGGGCACCGTCAGGTTGGCACCGCGCCGCCCCCGCGCCGCCCTCAGTGCCCCGCGCCCCTTGCGCCCTGACCCGGGCCGCGCAGCGCGACCCCCGGCCGCACGGACCCCCACCCTGGGTCTTGAAACAAGAGGGGAGGCGTGGGGAGGCCTCGGCCGAGCCCGCCGCCCAGCCTGAGAAGCCAGGCTGGCGTGGGGACGACGCCCGGTAAGGCTCGGCGCCCGGTTCCGGCCCGGCCCGCCCCGCCCGCCCGCCGCCGCGCGGCCCCGCCTGACCCCGGCTCTGCAATGCAGGCTCAAGTCCACCCCGCGCCCCAAGTTCTCTGTGTGCGTCCTGGGGGACCAGCAGCACTGCGACGAGGCCAAGGCCGTGGACATCCCCCACATGGACATCGAGGCGCTGAAGAAGCTCAACAAGAACAAGAAGCTGGTCAAGAAGCTGGGTGGGTGCGGCGGGCGCGCGCGGGGCAGAGCGGCCCTTCGGGGTTTTGCTGCTGAGGATTGGGCCCCCAGGGCTTTCGCGCCGAGCGGCTGTTTCCCCTTTTATGAGTTTGGTCTCACTGAACCGCTCAGGTTAGGTTGGCTTCAACTTGTGATCGTCCCTTTTTCAGCCTCCCACAGTGCTGGGGGTAGATACACGTGTGCGCCACTTGGATTTGTAAAACAAGTGGCAGCTGGCTTTCGTGGTGCATGATTGTCATCTTCGCACTTGGGAGGCTGAAGCAGGAGGATTGCAGCCTCTGGGATCAGCCTGGGTCACATGAGGAGACCATGTTTTTATATAGAAAAAAAAAACCCGATAGAGTGGGCAAAGACTGCTGTGGGGGTAAGTTAGCTTAAATGGTTTTAGTTTAATGAAACTTGGGTTTTTAGGGCAGTATTTAACTCCATGAACAAGCCCTGGGGCCACTAGTACCACAGAAAGTAAGTGAAGGGCTACCTTTTAAGATTTTCTTGGGAGTTCTTTCATAAGGGGGGAGGCCAAATACAGGCTTTAAACAGGTGCCATTACCAGTAGAAGACAGGCGGGGTGAGTTTAGGTCCTCTTGCCTGGTGCTGGAGTGGACTTTGAGTTCCCAGCCTGGTTTTGGCCTGTGCCAAGGTAGTGGTGTCAGCCATCAGAAGGGAAGGTTTCCTGTGGCCGTGGCCGAGGCCCCGGCTGGGGATGGAGAGGTGGGACCTGAGCTCAGAGCATGCCTCAATCTCTAGCATAGGTTGTGGGTCACCAGCCTCTTAGGAGGAGGCCAGGTTTCAGGACATGGAGTCCAGAGGAAGAGCTAGAAACCGCGCTGCGGTGTGGAAGGGATTGCTTAAAATGACCATCCTGTAAATCCCAGCTGCTTAGGTGGTTGGGGCAGGAAAATAGCAAGTTTCAAGGCCAGCGCTGGGCAGTGCAGCAGTACCTTGTCTCAGTGGAAAGAGACGGGGTGCAGCTCGTTCTCCCTAGGGTTAGTCCCTAGTACAAAACAAAAAGACCCAGTCCCTGGACCGGGAGAAAGGGCCAGGTCCTCACTGGGCAGTGTTGCTTACTTGCAGCCAAGAAGTACGATGCCTTTCTGGCCTCAGAGTCTCTGATCAAGCAGATCCCACGAATTCTGGGACCTGGCCTCAATAAGGCCGGCAAGTTCCCTTCCCTGCTGACACACAACGAAAACATGGTGGCCAAGGTGGACGAGGTGAAGTCCACGATCAAGTTCCAGATGAAGAAGGTAGGGCTGGGGGGCGGTAGCCCTGCTTCACAGGGATGGGCACTGTTCACTGCGGAGGTGGGACCCACTCCCCTCCCTGACACGCCCCTGTTCCCTCTGCCCAGGTCCTGTGTCTGGCGGTGGCTGTTGGCCACGTGAAGATGACAGACGACGAGCTTGTGTACAACATCCACCTGGCTGTTAACTTCTTGGTGTCTTTGCTTAAGAAGAACTGGCAGAATGTCCGGGCTCTGTACATCAAGAGCACCATGGGCAAGCCCCAGCGCCTGTATTAGGGCACCTCCTAATAAATGGTGTTTCCACCCTTCTGCCCTGTGTCTGGAATTGGGGTTGGCAGCAGTTAACTGAGTGGTTTTCATCTTGTTGGTGACAGGCACTCGCGGACCGAAGCTACAGGGCAGCCTCTGGCTGAGTCACACAGTTCCCCTCTGAACTTTTTGGACAGAGTGTGACAGCAGGGCTCTAGACAGTGTCTTGAGGACACTGAGGACCATGGCACCTGTGAGCCCCGCTCTGAGTGGCGGAGCTGCACAGGGAAGGCACTGGTTTGTGGCCTCCAGCGGTGATCCCACAATTCTAATCACAAACCCAGTTGGATGGGGACTGAACGTGATTCAGTGGTCAAGTTCAATGTTGACCTGAAGGTTTGGTTTGCAACCCAGATTGTGAACTGAGGTGCCACCACCTGTTCACATGCCTAAGGTTGCTATTTCCCTTCCCCTCCTTTGACAACCCTCTAGTGGGTGTGTGGCCTAGTATGACTGGGTTGGCCCCAGAGGACTCAAAAGCAGTCCTGCCTCGGCCTCCCCACTAGCAGGGACCAGAGGTGCCACGATGTTGGGCCAGCTCGGGCAGAAAGGCTGACACGTATAAAGCTGGTCTTTACCAATCTGCTGTGATCAAGCTTAAATCTGGGCTCCCAGAGCCTTGATCTGCCTGTGATCCACTCCTCCAGGTGCTGCCTACACCCAGGCTCTGTCCCCAGGGTAGGGGTATAGGGGCAGGAGGGTGGACAGGGTTAGCTGTGGTGCCCTGCTGTGGGGTAGAGCCAGCTTTTGCTGCCTGTAGGCTTGGGGGGGGGGTCCCATTGGGATGAAAGGCACCTCTGCCCTTCCGGCTAAAGTGACAGTCTGTAGTCCGCTGTGAAACAAGGCAGAAGGCCAGTGGCCTGCTGGGCGGGGGCTGGCTGTGATTCCCAGCGTGCGGGCCACTCTCACCTGCCCAAACCTCCCGGGGCAGGTGGGTGCTGTCCAGGTCCCACCTGGTGGCAGTCTTTGGCCCTGCCTGCGGACAGGGGAGCTTTGCACTCAGGTCTCACACTTAACCCACAAATAATTTTAATCTCTGTCTTGTGCACGGAGCAGGTCTTGGTCCCTGCCCCAAGCCCCATTTACAGTATGACCCATCACAGTGGACTTAGAAAGTAACACAAAAAGTATGTAACATGTTAAAAAACCTAGGTGGGGTGTGGCAGTGGCCCCAGCCAAAGGCAGCCAGTGCAGGAAGCGGGCAGGTGGCGGAAGGGGCGCAATACTTCATAAGGTCCCCAGAGGCGCTGGGGACAGGCTGGCCCAGGCCCCAGGGCCTGGAGCCGGGAAGGTGCAGCAGGGGCTCTGGGCCCTTTCCGTGTGGGGCCGGCTCTGGAGGGCACTCAGCCAGGCCTCGGTGGGCGTCCGGTACAGCTGCAAGGCCACTCCTGCCCTGGAGGTAGTGTAACCTGGGCCCTGGGTGGCCCTGCCTCGGCTCAACTCAACCCTCACTGGCTGTGCAAGGGGCCGGGCTCAGCCCTTCTGGTCCTCGGCAAGCTGCCTGCCTCGGCCTCCTCGCCGCCTCCCTGCCACCACACTACCCATGGCCGGGGATCAGTGCTGGCGCCTCAGCGGGTCTTACACCCCCACCTCGGAGGTTGCTGCGCGGGGCCAGATGCTGGCCGGGCAGCGCCTGCCACTGGGCCCCTCTGCTCCCACAGCTAAAGCGCAGAACAGCGGCGGGTAGGGGCAGCGCATCCTCAGCCCAGGCCCCTGGTGGGCCAGGCAAGTGCGGGGCAGGTCTGTCCTGTGTCCTCGGGGTGCATGGCTGGCACCCTAGTCTTTAACAAGCTTGTAGACGTGGTGCTGGGCGCCATGCTCGCTGGTGGAGACTTCGAAGACGAACGCGATGACCAGCAGGGTCTCCTGGGAGTCCCGGTTCGTGACCACCTGATGGGGCAGGGAGGGTCAGCCCTGGCCGGTACCCCCGCCCCCGCCCCCGCCCCCGCCCCCGAGTGTGCGCACCTGCAGGATGGTGAAGTTCTCCAGCACGCTGTTCATCATGTACTTCTCGGGCAGGTGCTTCAGCTTGTGGATGAAGTTGATCATGTACTCGCACATGGGTGAGCGGTGGATGCGGTACACGAAGCGGCCGTTCTCCAGCCGCGCGTACTCCGTCTGCGGCGGCCGGAGCGAGCGGGGGTCACCGGCTGGCCGTGCCCGCATGCCCACCCCGCCTGCCCCCTGCCCGCGCCCCCACTCACCTCCACCTTCTCCACCACCTGCTTGCCGAAGGAGCACACCTTGGTGGAGACGCTAATGGTCATGCTGTCCGCAGAGCTGTACTGGGAGCTGACCCCGTAGAAGGCCCCGGGCCCCTCCTGCACGGTGCTGTTGAGGTCAGCCTGGGGGGGCAGGGGGTGTCGGTGCTGGCCTGGGCGGCAGGGGGCGCCCATGTAGGGCACTGCGAGGGGCGAGGGCTCACCCAGAACTTGACGAGGAAGAAGGCGTTGGGGGGCCCCTTCTCATAGAGCTCCTTCAGCCCCCCCTTCTTCTCCGGGAACTTGTCGTAGATCTGCCGCACGTCCACAGCCTCCAGCGGCGGATCGGAGAAGGCGGGGTTGGTCTGGCCGATGTGCACGAACAGGTGTTTGCTGTACTGTGGGGAGGCCAGGCGGGTCAGGGCCGAGGGGCACGGCTGCCTAGGGCCCCGAGTACTGGCCCGCGACCCAGCATGTTACCGTGTCGGGGTCTCGCTGCACCTCCATGAAGGCTGAGTACTCGAGGAGCCGCAGGCGTGAGGAGGCGATGGTGCGGTCCTGCCACGCTGGCACGGAGGAGGAGGTGGCAGTGGCGGCTGGGGGGAGCGGGGCCAGGGGCTCATAACCTGGGAGGGAAAGATGGTCCCACACAAAGTGGCCCAGCCTGCCCTCGGCCTTGGAGCTGCCTTGACAAGGGGGCCACCTTGGAGCAGGGGTATGCTTTGGATTCTGACTTGCCTAAAGGGGTCTATCTGTGCAGTGTACAACCTGCACAACCAAGACGGAGAACCAGGTATACACAACAGCATGAATGTTCAAATGTGCATTCAGCAAACACAGAAAAGGGGAAATAACAATTACCCGGGATCCTACCACCCAGAGAGAGCGGAGACCCGCTAGGATGCTGGTATCTGTCTCCAAGGGAGTTTTCCATCCACACAAGTACCACAGCTCAAGCCACGCTGAGCCCTCACCCCTGGCCACCCCCATCCCCTAGCACGGGGGACACCTACTGTTGAGTGTCGGTGGCAGGGGTGGCTGGACAGGGTAGGCTGGCTGTGCGAAGGGCTTGATGCTGCGGGTGAGCACAGTACAGGTGTTAGGGGCCCAGGCCCACAGGAGTCACCTGCAACCCCCATGCACCTCACATGTTCTGACTCCGAGGGGGCCTGGCTGCAGTGCACAGCACCCCCACATTTCCGATTGGCCCTGAGACACGAGACACTGAGGGCAGGGTGGCCGGGGATGTGAGTGACCAGGGACTGGCCTGCTGTGGGTGGAGGGATCACAGGAGGATGGGGAACCCAGTACTCACTCCTGAGAGGGTCCAGGCTGCTGTCCCAGGAGGGGGGTACTGCTCCAGAACTGCAGAGGGACAAAACCAGGCGCTCAGGACCCCTACTGCACCCTGCCCGCCCTACTGCCCTCGCTGGCCGGGCCCTACCCTGGAGGATGCGGCGGAGAAGACGGCCTGCGGCAGCGGTGAGGGCGGGCTGAACTTGTTTTGCAGGACGCTGGCGGACACGATCTGTGCCGAGGACATGGACGCCATGCTCTGGAGGGCTTTGTCCTTGGAGACCTGGTCCTGGGGACGAGAGGGCCAGGTGAGAGCCCCAAGGACTTGGGGACCCAGCTTTGCAGGGGGGCTTGGAGCCTCTGTCCCCAGGTCCAGCCTCTGTCCTCGCCCCAGCAGGACCCACAGTAAAAGCAACTAGCTTCACTGACCCTTATAGCTGTCCTGGCATCTAGGGGACTGCTCCCAGGATCCCTGGCCACCAGCGCGCCAGGTGTGCGTGTCCCTTGTGTAAAGTGTTGCCCAGGCTGGTTCCCAACTGATGGTCTCAAGCAGCCCTCCTGCCTCAGCCTCCCCAGTACCTGGGACTAGATGTGTGTGTCACCATGCCTGATACACATCATTTTTATATGAGCTCACGTAGGGGATGACAGGAAAAATGATCAATCAGTGTTCAATTCAGATACAATATTTTTCAAATATTTTTGTTCTGAGTTTGGCTGGATCTAGACAAAGGCCAACTGTACCCACCCGTGCATTTCCCCTGTATGTAGATGCCTAGCCTGTCATTGCATTTTTGATACGGGCTGCAGTGCAGAATGCACCTCCCAAACCAGAAGCCTTGAGTCACACATCTAGTCCCAAGTACTGGGGAGGCTGAGGCAGGAGGGCTGCTTGAGCCCAGCAGTCTGGGATCAGCCTGGGCAACACAGTGAGACTCCAGATCAAAACACACCCAGAAGTCCCAACTGCGGACACTGTGTTGGGCATTGTAAGTAAGATGACAGGATTTAAAGCATCCAGAGGACGTGTGTATGGGATCCATGCAAATGTATCACTTTATACAAAGAAGCCCAGGTGTGGATCCACAGGAATGCTGGGGAAATGACTGTATCTCATTTTTCACAAATGCTGCTTTCAGCTGAGTGTGGGGTGCACACCTGTAATTCCAACCAGGAGGCTGAGGCAGGAGGATGGCTGTGAGTCTGAGGCCAGCCTGAACCACTGTCTCCAAAAAACCCAAAACAGGGCTGGGGATTTAGCTCAGCGGCATAAGTGCCTGCCTTGCAAGCAGGCAGTCGTGAGTTTGATCCCCAGTACCGATAAAAAGGAGAAAGACAAACAAACAAATAAAACAAAACAAACGCTGCTTGCAAATTGTGTATGTGTATTTGTGTGTGTGTGTGTGTCTCTGTGTGGGCACCGGAGATGGAACCCAGGTCCATGCTGAGCCACTCTGCCTGTGTGAGAACCTTCTGGTGCCACCCATCCCAGAAGGACACTGCCATGCTACTTACCAGGTTCATAGCCTGTGGAGGAAGAGGAGGACAGATTAGAAGAGATGGGGGCTCCGCAGTCGGGGACCGCCCTTGCCCACCCACTTCAACACTTGGGACCCTGCCCAGGCATGCCTGCCAGTGGGGTGCCCTGGCCCAGGGCAGCTGTGTGGGGGTGGCACATGGGCACTGTGGGATTCCAGCTCGGGTCCTCAACCACAGAGCGGACGGCCCGGGACCAGGGTGGCCACCTCCACAGCCCTGGCCGGTGACATCCCCTGCCTCCTCCTGTCCTTGAGTCCCCATGCAAGCAGCAAGCGGCAAGCAGCTGGAAGGAGGCAAAGGAAAGTGGAGAGAAGGAGGTGCAGTGCCCCGGACGGTCCTGTCTCCCCACGGTGGCTCCGGGAACCTGGTGCTCCCTGCTGGCATCTGTACCTGAGACCAGGCCGGGCGCAGGGCGCCCCTACCTTCAGCTTGGACTGAATCTCCCGAGATTTCCGCCTGGCTAGAACCTGCAAGTGGCTAGACACCTGGAGAGAGAGAGAGAGAAACAGAAAGAACAGGACGAGAGGACAGGCCCAGCCAGAAGAGGTGCAGAGGGCTGGCTAGAGAGGAGCTGAGGCAGAGGCCCGAGCCGTGCGGAGCGCAGTGGGGGCGCCGGGGAGGAGCCCGAGGCCCCGGCAGGCGCCCAACGTACCTTGATGCCAACCTGGTACTCGCGCACCTTCTTCCGAGCTAGAACCTGTATGTGGCTGGACACCTAGGGGCCGCCCCGCGCCCCACCGGAGAGGAAAACACACAGTGAGCGGGCACTCCAGCCCCATCTCTGGGGGACCAACGGAAACGGGACAGCTCTGGGGCTCCTGGCGCAGCCCCTTTGGCACTGTCATTTCTGCCCTCTCCTTGGCCGTGGATGGATTAAGAGCCCACGGTGGCTTCCGAAGCCACCACGTACAGCTGCGTGTGTAGTTAACTCACTTCCCAAGGGCGCCTGGCCCGGGAGGCACAGTGAGAGCTCAAATCCAGCCCTGGTTCTGCTGGAACCTGCACCCTGGCACAGAGGAACGGCGAGTCCAAGAAGGGGTGACACAGGGGTGACACTTATCACTGGTATCCTCCAAGGAGACACCCTTTTCTACTGGGCTTCCACACTAAGGATGCCCCATCTTTCTACGCCCCGCCCCCCAGCTGCTTCCTCCAATACTGCACTGCGGGCGCGCCTCTGACGCATGCGCGCCTAGGAGAACGCAGCAGCCTTCTTTCCCAGCAGCCTTCTCCCTGCATCCCAAGCCAATCAGGCACGGCTGACCTTTGACCTTGAGCCCAGACCAGAAGCAGCAGCCTGGTGATCAGCCATAGCTGTGGGCTTCCTGTGCAAGCTGGGTTTATCCCCAAAGATGGTTTTCAGTTTTTTTTTCATCACAGCCTGACAGTTATGATGTAAATTATGCTGGGAGCCCAGAAGCCACTTGCTTAGGAGACAGGCAGGGACTCATGACAAGCACATCTACTGATGACTGATGCCTGGGAGCCAGGTTCTACTTGACTCTCCATATATGGCTTTATAGACTCATTTGTTTGTTTTTGTTTGTTTGTTTGTTTGTTTTTTGAGATAACATCTCACTATGCAGCCCAGGCTGGCTTCAAACTCTTGGCCCTCCTTCTGCCTCACCTCCAGGGTGCTGGAATTATAGGCGTGCACCACCACGCCCAGTTTATTTGACCTTTCCAGCAATTTTAAATAGTAGGTTCAAATATTATCTCTGACTTACAGATGATGAAACTGAAACAGAGAGGTTACCCAATTTATCTAAGGTCACACTGCCAGATGTTGGAGCTGGGATTTGAACCTGGGCCTCATCTACGTCACCATCAAGCTATCCTCCCAGGACTTTTTTTAGACCCTTGGACGGGGCACCATCTCCAACTGGCTAGCTCTGGGACAGCTAAAAGTCACAGGCAGCTTTCTGTCAATATTTAGCTGTTTGTCAACATGGAAGCACTAGAGGTATTATTTTTGGACTTAGATTGAACCCAGGGCTACATCACAGCCCTTTTTTATTTTGAGACGAGGTCTCACTAAGTCAATAAGCTGCCCAAGCGGAGATTGAATTTGTAACCCTCGTGCCTCAGCCTCCAGAGTGCTGGGCTTACAGGAGTGTGGCACCATGCCCAGTCTGGGCTATTTCTTGGCTGCTTGGCAGGACCCTGCACACACCTCATCTCAGCCACTTGGCCCTGCTGCACTCTTGGTCTCCCTTCCTGGGAGTAGTGGCTCAGGGTAGGACTGCAGCCACCTGGTGGGCCTGCGAGTCTCGGCCGCAAAGGCTGCTGGAGAGGAGGGGCAGCACGATGCGCACAGACTGGCTCCCTACCTGTTTCCTCGTCCGAGTCTTCCCGGTCCTCAGTTTGATGTAGCGGGCGATGAGCTCATTCCGACCTAAAGCAGGTGGGAGCATTAGGAACAGCAGAGGCCCAAGACCCAGCCCCGCCTGGTGCAACCCGGCTCCCTGTGCTGTCCCCCACTGCCCGTAGCGCCTTGGGGGTGCTGCAGAGGGGAAGACAGGGTGGCTGGAGGATGGGCACCCTGTCCCCTGCAGTGCTCTCTTCCTAAGCCACCCAGAAGGAACAGGGACGTCTAGCGTGTGTCCACATGTAGGTCTGTAAGTACTCTGGGTGAGTCCTTTCCCTTCAGTGGTGAAGGAGGACGGATGGACAAATGGATGGACAGATGGAAGGATGGACCCAAAGGAGGGAGACAGAGGCACATGGCCTCCAATTGTCTCCTACCCTGCAGTCGGTTACTGAGTGTGTCCTTGTGCCTGCCATCCTGTGGCCCTGGCTGCCACATAGTACGAGTGGCTCCTACCCACCACCATGGCCCATCTGGGGGACCAGGCCCACTGGAGGTTTAGGGACACATAGCTAGGTGTATGGGTGTATGTCTGCACCTTCAAGTCCCCCCAACCCCTCAGCCTCCTGAGAAGAGCCACATTCTCCAGATGCCTCTCTGGTGACAGAGCTGGGGCCCACTGTCCCTCCCTTCCTGCCCCCTCACCGCCCTGTCTAAAAATACCCAGTGGGGCTGCCCCAGCCATGTGGGAGGCACCAGGGGGACAGTGGTCCCTGCCCTGTGGAGGAGGGGGCCGGGTGCTGAGGACAGATGACACATGGGCACGGCAGTCCCTATCAGGGCCTGGCCACAGGCTGTCATGGAGGGCCAGGGCTGGGGCTGGCATGTGCCAAGTCCAGAGGTCAGTTATGCCCACATGCAGCTCGGGAGCGCCTTTTCCACACTGGACAAGAGAGGACTGTCCCTTCTGGGGGTGGGCACCCTGGCACAGTGTCAGGGAAATGGGAGCTAGGGAGGAGCCTGGGGGACAGGAGGATAAGTCCCCATGTCCCTGCAATGTTCTGCTGACTGCAGGCAGGCCCAAAGTGACTTCCCAGCCCTGCCCTGCAGGAGAACATGCTGGGGGGACCACACCTCAGGCCTTACTGGGAATCCTTCCCACAGTCCTGGGGGCAGAGACCCTTCAGGCCTGGCCTGCAGCGCACAGCGCTGACCCAGTTTCCTGGGCCCACTGAGTCACCCCGAAACCTCCAGGCCCAGGCTGGGGCAGGCAGGGTGAGAGGTGCGGGCCGCCCAGCTTGTTTGTGAGGTGGCCCCGACCCGGCCTCGCACGCCTGGACTCGCCCGTGCTGGCCGGAGGCCAGGACGTCACCCAACTGGTTGGGCCAGAGCAGAGGAGGAAGGACGTCCGCCTCACGCACCGTACATCTTGCCCTCGTCCGACAGGATGATCTTGCGGCGGCCACAGGGCGGGTAGATGGCCAGGGCCTCCTGGAAGCTCTGCTCGATGTCCGGGCTCCACACGCCCTCCGCGTCATTGTCCAGCCCCTTGTCCAGGCCCTCGGGCCCATCCTCCCGGGCCTCCCCGGGGCTGCCGCTGGTGCTCCAGCTGTTGGACGCTATTGTGCTGGTTGCTCTGGGCTCTGGGCCTGAGCCCACAGGGCAGCCTGAGCCTGTGGACAGATAGATGCAAGAAGTCAGCCCAGGGTCCCCCACCACCCACCACTGAATAATGGTTTTTTGTTTTTTTTTTGTATCGGGAATCGAACTCAAGACCTTGTGCTTGCCAGACAGGCTCTGTACCACTGAGCTACATCCTTGGCCCTCCACCTCTGCCTCTCTGGTCCTCATTCCCCACTGCCAAGGTGACCCCAGGGTGGGATACAGAAAACCAGAGCTGTGTGAGCCTGGATGAGCCACTGAACCTCTCTGAGCCCCTGTGCTGGTAACATGAGTTCGGAGCCTGCTAGGGTTGTGAGAGTGAAGCCCCACAGTGCCTGGCGCATGACATGGGAAGCACAGAAGCCACAGGGATCAAGAACAGCAGTGAGGGGCTGGGGATTTAGCTCAGCAGCATAAGCACCTGCCTTGCAAGCAGGCGGTCGTGAGTTCAATCCCCGGTACCAATAAAAAGGAAAAAGACAAAAAAAAAAAAAAAAAGAGAGAGAGAGAACACCAGTGAGGATGCAAGGCCACGCGTCTACACAGCATACGTCGGAAAGCACCCGGCTCATTTGGCCCTCACCGCAGGAAGGCAGAGAAGGCACCCAGACAAAGATGCCCACCATTCAGATGAGGGAAACTGAGGCTCATGGGTCACATGGCACTTCCAGGACGAGCGGAGAAAGGAGCACAAGACCAGACCCTTCCTCCACATCCTGGTACCCATGCAGCCCTGCCCAGGACGGCTTCCCCTCCCCTAGAAATAACCCAGCAATCGCTGTGCTCAATCCCCCGGGCAGTGGCTGGCACCCATTTCTGGTCCCGCATCTCTGCAGCCTCACAGCACCCATAGGTAAACTACCCACAGCTCCCTGGCATGGCCCACGCTGCACAGAGCCAGGCTCTGCCCCAGCAGTTTAGACCACACCCAGGGACACCCCCACACTAGCCCCCACCCTCACCCCCGCAGCAGGAAATGCAAGGCCTAGGTGGACAGCGGGACTGGTGAGGAGCTAGGGAGAGGAGCCTGAGCCCAGGTCTTCTGAATGGTGGGGGAGGCTTCTCCTCAGGAGCCTCCAGTTTATCTGGGAGACCTCTAAGGGAGAGCCAGCAATGGAGCAGGGTGGGGAGGGCATCAAAGTCCCAGAGGTCAGGTACAAGGCTGTTACTAATAACTCCAAATAAATGCCAGGAAGGTTCTAGGATTTTACACATATTCATCTAACCCGCCATGGCCGGGTGGGATCACTCACACACCTGAAATACCAGCACTGCAGAGGCTGAGGCAGGAGGATTGCCCGGAGTCTGAAGCTAGCCTTGGCTACAAAACAAATTCAAGGCCAGCCTAAAGTACAGAGCAAAAGTCTGTCTCAAAGGAAACAAAAAACAAAAAACAAAAAGAAAGAAAAGAAAAAATTTCCCACTAAACCCACGAATGCTATTGTTAGTTCTACCTCACAGATGAGGGCATGAAGAAACAGAAGACATTAAACCTGCCAGAGAACACATAGCAAGTAGCTCTAGGACTGGTCCTGAACCCGGGTCTCTGGCTTCAGTCTGTAAACCCAGGAGGCCGAAGCGGGCTAAGGAAGGAGGCTCCGCAGGGCTCAGCCCGGGACCCTGCGCTGGCCTGCTGACAGTCAAGGTCCGCACGGTTTCCTCCCCTGCCCGCCTGCCTGCCAGGGCCGGGGCGCAGAGCCCGCTCCCCAGGCCAGCGCTTGGCACAGCCTCGCCGAGGCATCAGCGCAGCGCCTGCAGCGGGCTGTCAGGGAACCACCCTCAACCCGCCCTGCCCGCCTCTCTCCCGGCCGCCCCCTGAGCATCAGGGCCGGGCCGGGGTCCCCCAGGAGCCCCAACCTCCAAACACTGTGCCCCCGGCAGCCCGGCCCCCCTGCCGGGTGATGTCAGCCCCGCCCCGCCCCCCGCCGGAGCCCTGTGGCCAAATATGGCGAACAGAGCCGAGCGGAGCCGGGACAGACGGGGGCGGGGCGGCCGGCGGAGGGCAGCTGGGGAGGGGGAGGGGCGGCGGCGGGGGAGGGGAGCCCCCTCCCCGAGGACGCGTCCCATCGGCCAGTGGAGACCCTGCCTTGGCGCTGGCTCCCGCAACCCACACGACAGGCTTTCCAGGAATCCCCTTGGGCACATAGGTGCCCACAGGAGAGCCCACTGATGGTACCCCCAAAACAGCCCTGCCCCTCAGCCCTGCATTTGTCCCCAAGCCTGGCTCCCACGTGGTGATGGCAGCTGCCCCTGACCATGGGGCCTCATCTGACAGCAGCAGTCAGGAGGGGCGGAGGTACTGCTGGTCTCCCAGAGTGACCACCTGGGTGGGGACAGCACGCAAGTTGACCTGCCACCCCCCAACCTCTGGGCCAGGCGGGGTAACAACAGAGGCTGCGGTGGTTGACTGGGTCGGGGGGGGGGGGGGGCTTGGAGGGCATCCACCTCCCTGTGCTGAGCCACCCTGAGGGGCCAAGGGACAGAGGCCAAGAGGAACAGGAGGGGAAGGGCAGCGGGACAGGGAATGGAGCCGGCCAGACAGGAGGAGTCCCAGGCAGGACAGAGGAGCTGAGCGGGGAGCACAAGGCACAGACAAAGCTCGCAGAGGAGCTGCGAGGAGGACACAGCCCGGGAGCTGGAGGCTCAGGAGGACGGTGGGCAGGCAGACACGTTCCAGATGCAAAAAGGCAGGGACCTAGGAGGCAGAGACCGCAGTGGGGTACAGGGGACAACAAAGACAGGCAGCAGAGTAGCAGGACCAGGAGGAGGAGACCCAGGGACAGGGACAGAGAGACCCGAGGAGGCAGAGCCACACACCTGGCCCATCCGTCTGGGACCTGCCACACCTGAGTCCTTTCCTCAGCCCTCAGCCCTGGGTCAGAAGTGCTCCAGAGTGGTGGCAAGGATGGGGCAGGGGGACTAAGTAGGCTGGGAGAGCAGGCGCCACCGCCACCACCGCCAGCGACCGCTGAGCCCCAGGGAGATAAGGGGTGCTTGCTGCCCACTCCCCACCCTGTGGCCAGCTCTGCTGGAAGAACTGGCTGGACGGCTCCAGGGATGGAGGCCGGAGTTGGGCTGCTGCAGAGGCCGGGGGACTCCAGACCCTCAGGTCTCCTGGCTCCTCTTCTTTGAAGGGTCTGCAGGTCATCAGGCTGAAGTGTGGGCTCCCCCTGGGCCACTGCCCTGGTGGAGGGCACAGATGGCAAAGGGTGCATTGTCAAGTGGACACCTCCCCTGCCCCATCCGGAGCCAAAGCTGAACTGGGGCCCCACTGGGTCCAGCAGGCAGCTGCCACCCACCGGTGCAGGGACCACTCGAGGTGGCGGGGAGACAGGCAGACTAGTTCCTGGGAATCCCCAGCCCTGCCCCTAGTGCACTGAGCCTGGGGTGAAGGGTGGAGAAAGAGGGGCCTGCGGCTTCCCAGCCCCCTTAGCCTTCCTCACCCCGCCCCACCACGGCCAGCTGTTCTCCAGCTGCCAGAGGCTCCCACCCCTGTCGGCCCAGTCTGGGCCCTGCGAGGGGGTGGGGACAGTGTCTGTCTCCCCCACCTCCAGCCCAAGGACCCTGGGGGACCCTGCCAAGTGGCCACACCCTGCCAGGCTGGGAAGGGAGGATCTTCTCAGAGGAGGATGGAGATTTCTACAGGAGGAAGCAATTTGCAGAGCCCACTAGTGTGTGGGGGGGCGCCTCCCTCTCCTGTCCTCCTTAATGTGCTTCCAATTTGGGCATCACACTCTGCCCCTCCTCCGCCTACCACTGGGGTGAGTGCTTTCTCTGGGGGCAATGGGGGAGGACTCCCCCCACCCAAAGCCTCACCCCAGGCAGCCCCTCCCGGAACAGCATAGGAGGGGTCAGGGCCTCTCTCCAGTACTGTCCTGTGGTCAGCGCCTCGAGTCCACTCCCGGGGAGAGAATCCCCTGTGTCCGTCCAATGAGGGAATGGCTGGGGGCCCTCAGTTCTTAGTGAACAAGGTTAACATGTTGATGGGCTCAGTTTCTGGCCCCCACAGGTTCCCTGGGTCACCCCCAGGGGGCTGTCACAAGGGTCACAGTGTCCTCTACAAACAGGTTTCCTCCGCGCTCCTCCTGTGCCCAGTCCTGACTCCCACGAGGTCACAGCCACGGTCCTGCACGTTCAGTTACCTGCACCTCTCTCTTCCCTGGCTTTTTTTTAAAAAACATTTTATTTATTCATCCCTTTGTTTGTTTGGACACAGGGTCTTCTCTACAGCCAGCAAGCCTTGAACTCCCTACATGAAGTGTAACTCAGGCTGGCCTCACACTTCGGATCCCCCTGACTCAGCTTTCTGAATGCTTGGGGTCCCAGGAGTGTGCCACCATCACACGTGGCTTCCTCCCTGGGATGTGTTTTTTTTTTTGGTGTTCTTAACTGTATTATGGAAAATATACATAATCTAAAACTTGCTACTTAACATGGTCTTCCGTACAAGGCGGGGGACACATGCTGAGTTTTTAACACCAGCTTTCTCGTGATCGGGGTCCACACAGATGCCCCATGCTGGGTCCCAGCCCTGACACTTATCTCGCAGTGTCCCACACCCCATCCTGCATGATCCCCAGGATGTCACCCACACATGTGGATACTGAGATCACCCACAGAGCAGTCTTGGTCACATCTGCAGCTTCTTGCACGCGTGCACACAGCCGCACACTCAGGGCGGCCTCTTTGGGCTCAGTGTCGGTGCCACACAGCATTTACACTCGCTTCCCTGCCACGCCCCGCCACGGGCCCTGTGGTTTTACTCGTACCTGATGTCATACACAAGTCAGACCTGAGGCCACCTCACAAACTGTTTCACAACACACACCAGGAGTGGTCACGCCATGCACCGTGTGCCACACAGCGTCATACACTTGCAGTGCCCTTCACCCCAAACAGTGGCATCAGCAGGTGCACGGGGGCTCCGGCAGGAGCTGGCTTCACAGATACGGCCAGCACGATGCTCACGCACAGAATGTCACCAGGCATGTCACCAAATTGTCACAATACGCCCAGAAGACTGCATGTGGAAGACTCCCGAGGGTCCTCTTCTGAATCTACACACCAGGCAGTCACAGTTGGCACCTCAAGCCTGTGTCCAGCCTCGTCTGCGGTCACCCATATCAGGTGCCCCTGCCCCACACTGTCCCCGCACGCACTGTCCGGCTCCAGCTTCTCACACACACCCGGTGTCATCACCCATGGTCACACACGGCTGCCTGCCGGCTTCCCTCCACTTCCTGTTCTCTGGGCCTGGCAGGGAGCACAGGAAACAATCGGCACTCTAGGAAACCCCAAGAGTGAGGCTTTGGGGACCTGGGGGGGTGGGGGATGGTGGTGGTGAAACTCCCAGAATGTGCAGGTCCCTCAAGGGCACAGGCAGTGTCCTCTCCCCTCCACCAACACCCTCTCTGCTGGCACACGGGGAGGGAAAGACCTTGGAGACAGGGCCAGATGTGACCCACTGACCTCCAGCTCTAATCAGAGAGGCTGCTGCCTTGGCCCTAGGGCTGCCCAGCGGTCTATGGAAACCTGGATCCTCAAGGCCACCTGGTGTGGGAATACGACCTCCCAAGGCAAGGGCTCCCTGCCCCCTGCCACCTGGCATCACCTCCCTGCACCTGGACAGACCCGAGCAAGAAGTGTGTAGTGCCAGCAGGTTCCATGCTGTGCTCCGTGGGCACTCAGGGCATTCTAGGAATGGGGTAAATGGGTGGCCACCAAATGGCCTTGGCCAGTCCCATCCTATTCCATCCAGCCCTGCTGGGCACCACCACTACCTCTTTTCAAAGGCATGTTCCCCTGTCCCTCCCCCCCCCCCCAATTTGTCTTTCCCTCTTTCCAGGTCCCCAATGCCTGAGCCCTGTAGGTTCAGGTTTTGGACAAGAAGACCACAGACCCAGGTCCCAGGAAGGCTTGGGGAAAGACACCTGCACCTGAGAGGCTGTTAATTTGCAAGAAATCGAGGCCCCTCAATTCCACACAGTTGGGGAGGGCAGTCCACTGGGGATCAGAGCCTGATTCCTCATCCTCCACTGCACAGCCCTCCGCCCCTGGATTAGTGTTTTCCCCCAACTTGCAGCAAGCACTAAGATGTGCAAAACCAAGAGTGCGGGTAGGTGCCTGGCTCACACATAGACACACACACACACACACACACACACACACACATGTGCGCAGACAGCACACACTCAAAGCTCTCTCCAGTCACTGACCATTCTGCTCAGCCATTTCTCAGGCCGCGTTGCACTCATAAGCATCAGTTATGGTGCCCTCCTTGGGGGTGGGGGATGCCCAAGAGCCTAAGCCTCCCACTGGCTAGGGGCCCCCTCTCTGAGTGGCACTCAGGGGTCCTCAAGTCCCCACCACATAGATGCAGCTGGTCACCCAGATCCACATGCCAGCAGGAGCCCAAAAGCCCACACAGAGTGAGTCCCCATGGGAGACTCCTTGGAAGGGGCTGCTGGAGGGAGCTGCAGTCCTCTCCGGCCCAGCAGCCCATTGGGAGTTCTGTTTTCCCTCCTGGCCCCCCAGGCTGTGCCCAGCATCCTGGCCAAGGAGTTGGCTAAGCCCTCAGCACCGTGGTGGGACAACACATACAGAACTAGGCCCCAAGAGAGGCGATACACAGGGCCCCCACGGCCACCGGCCCCTCTGAGCTGTGTCCAGCCTCACCCGCATCCTCTGTGGGCTGCAAGTCCAGGCCTGACCTGGTTCTGCCCCTACCTGGAGGAGTAAAGATAGGGAGGGAGGCAAGTCTCCCCCAAGGCCTCATTCCCCCTTGCCTGAGGCGTCTCGGGCCTGGACAGGGCCTCTCCCAGGAAAGGTGACAGAGAGGGGTCTCAATGACACCGCCTTAAGGCCTGGTTGGGCTGGAAAACAGACTCAGGCCAGCGCCCAGCCCTCCCTTCCCAAGGAGGAATAAAGGGCATCAGAGACAACACGGCGACCGCGGTGGGAAGGGGTGTAGAGCCAGGCACCCTCAGACCCTCAGAGTACAAAAGAAGCGGCCCCAAATTCAGTGCCTTGGGAGCCCGGCGCACAGGGCTTGGGCTGGGACTCGGATCCTTCCCGACGCGGCGCAGGGCTGCAGGGGATCCGGGCGCACGACGGGTGGCAGCTCCGCGCCCCGACGCCGTCCACTGGCAGCCCGCGGCCCGGGCCGCAAAGGAGCAGCCGTGCGCGGGAGGCAGGGCCAAGGCCTGCGCTGAGCCGGCCCGCGGGCTCCGGAGTCCAAAGGGCGGCAGGGCTGGGGACCGGGCGCCCCGGATGCGAGTCTCCGCGGCAGGGCCCGGGCTGCACGGCGGCGCGCTGGGGACCCGGTCACGGCTCCCGGCCGCCGGCCCGACTGGTCCCGGCGCCGAGGGGTGGGCGGGGCTTCCCGGAGAGGTTTCTCCCCCTTCGCTAAACTTCCCGGCACCCAGATCCGGGGCTCCGGCTCGGGGCTGGACAACGGCTCGAGGACCCAGCCCCCCTCGAGTGTCCCCGCGATCCCGAGCCAACCAACTACCGCCTCTCCGCGGCGAGGCCTCCTCCCGGCGGTTGCCCGGCTTACCTGGTCCGAGCTCGGGGGGGCGCTCCGGCCAGGCCGCTCCGCGGGGGCCGAAGGAGCCGGAGGGGGCCGGGAAGGGAGGTCGTGGGGAGGGGGCCGGCGGGAATGCGCGGAATGAGCCGGGCGGAGCCGTAGCCGGAGCGCGGGCGCGGAGGAGGGAGCGAGCGGGACGGAAAGTTTGTGTTGAGAGCCGCGGCTGGGGGTGGGGGCCGGGGCCTGGCGGGGCGGGGCGGGGCCTTGCGGGGGCGGGGCCTGGCCGGGGGCGGGGCTGGCGGCCACCCCCGCGGGCGCGCGCGCTGCCACCCGCAGTACCCGGGGACCTGGGGGGGGGCGCCCGGGTCTCCCGCGCCTCGGCGCTTGCAAGCTGTGCTGAGCACCGGCTCTGTCCCCTCGCCTGTCCCTCGCTGGAAGTTGGGGCTCCGGCCCGGGGCGGGGCGAGGGCGGAGCTCCCGTCCTGGGGAGGCGGGACTGTCGTCGGTGCCGGGGCCCGTGGGTGCCGCGTCACGAGGCGCTCGGCGGGGCCTGGGCGCACGGGCCTCGGGGCTCCCCACCCCGAGCCTGGTCCCGAGCCGCCGAGGCGGAGCCCCCCGCCCCGCCCCGTGCCCGCCCCCCGCGCCGGGGCCCCACGCCGGCCCCGCTCTGGTGGCTGCGCGCGCCCTGCCCGAACCCGGTTTGTCTGGTTCTCCCCGAGCGGCTCGTTTCTCGAATTTCTCCCTTTCTGCCTCTTCCTGGACCTCCGGGCCCTCCCTCGGCCTGGCTCCTGAGGGCCCCGCGGGGGGTGTCGCGACCCCGCGCACGCCGAGTTTCGGTAGGACCCACCCGCGACGGGGGAAGGGGGCGCGGCCGGAGGTCTCAGCGCGCTCCGAGGCCCCCCTCCTTGGGAATTCCCCTCGTCGTCCCCCTGCTTGGGGACCCCCGCTCCGGCCCCGGGACCGCGGCTCTGCCCCGGGGACCCTTCGGTCCCCTGCTTTGCGCGCCTCACCGGAACCACCGCTGCGCTGCCCGGACGCGGCTTTATTGGGGTGTGGGTACCTGCGCGCGTTCCCGCCACCTACCCCGCCTCCTCCGAGTCCCCGCGCGGTCCCACAGGGGGTTAAAGCAACACTGACTACCGCTCCCGGACAGGAAGTGACTGGGGCGCGGGGAGGAGGGGGCGAGGCCGCGCGGGCGGGCTCCACGGCCAGATGTGCGGCTCCAGCTCCAGATGCTGTCCGTCTCCATCGCGCCCGGCGTCGGAGCTCCTCCCGCCTCGGCCTGTGCCAGGCTGCCCAGCGCAAGGAGGTCACCAAGCGGCAGGGAGGGGTGGGCCCGCGGCAATGCAGGGGCCCCGCCGCCTCTTCTCAGTCCTTCCCCTCGTGCTGGCCGACTCTGGGGGCGCCGGGCGCCGCGGGTCACTCGCAGGCCAGCTTCCCGTCGAAACTGGAGAGGGCGATGGCGAAGGCCTGCAGGGCGCACAGCGGGTACCGGTAGTCGAGGGTGAAGGCGTCCTCCGCCACGCGGCCGAACTGCAGCACTATGTAGTCGGCTGCGGACACAAGATGAGTGGGGGCGGCCCGAGGCCTCCTTGGACCACCGTCCAGGCAGCCAATGTCCGCACCACGGGGGAAGTCCCTGTTCCTGTGGGCCAGGCCGGCCCCACCCGTACTTCACTGCCTGTCGCTGTGAGCCCCAAGGGCAGGGGACTGCCTTATCGGCCACTGCCCGGAGCCTGCTCCAGCAGGCACTTACTGAGGTCGTGCAGGACCCTATCGAACTCCCCAACCCTGGAACCCTCGCTTCGAAATGCCCGCCCGGTTCCCTTCTGGCCCATTGTTTGCTGCCTCACAGGGCTCCACGGTGGACCCCAGACTCAGTCCGTTCACGAATGCCCTGGTACCCTTCCTTAGCTGGTGGCCCCAGAAGCCCCTTCCCATTCTGATCCCGATCTCCTGCCCCAATCCCCACACCTCCCCCTGCATCCATAGGGACGGGAAGTTGCTAAAAATACCCCCCAACTCTAGCCTGGTGGCTCCACCAGAAATGTGATCCGGAGAGCTAGCGGTCCCAAGCCCAGGGGACAGGTGACACTGGGGCACATCCCTGGAACATTGGGGGGGGGGGTGTTGATCTGTGCGGCCCTACCCCACACAGCCACAGTCCTCTGGGAGATACCTTTCCACCCCAAACTTTCTCATCCTACTGGGAGCCTCTCCCCAGGGCTTGGAACTGGGACCTTTTCACTTAATTGCGTTCCAGGTACATCTTGTCTTCCTCCAGGGTAGGCTTTTGGCCTCACTTAAGAGAAGAAATGGACTCAGAAATGCTTGGCTAATGTTCCCCGCTCTGAAGCGGTGAGAAGCGTGGGCACTGGAGCCAGACTCTGGAGGGTCTGACCCCGGAGCTGTCTCTTAGTGGCTGTGTGACCCTGAGCAAGTTTCTGCACCTCTCCTGCCACCCATTTTCTCATCTGCCAACTACAGATAAGGACAGCACCATGGTCATAGGGTTACTGGAAGGATTTAAGGAGTCATTATCTGTAAATTCCCCCCCAAATGGTGCCTGGCACACAGAAAGTATGGAGACCAACGGGGGAAATAAGTTTTGAGGAGCAGCATCAATTTCTGAAGGAGCTGGGAGACTGTACAAAGGGTGCCTTCCTGGGCCTCGGCAGCCTCTTTGACCACGAAGGGACTTCCTTGCGCTCTGGTTTTCTAGCTCTAGCAGTGAAACCCTGCCTGCAACAGCTTTTACCCAGAATGCCTCAGCTCTGCCTCTGGGCCCAGTGGACGCCAGCACCTTGGAGACACCTGCTTGGCATATCTGGGGCCGGGGTTCTCAGAAACTCACGGTCATCGGCGTGAACGATCTGGAAGTTCTTGACCGAGGCCTGGGTGACGCGGCCCTGAAAGTTGAGTGTATAGGAGCCACTGTCCTCATTCCAGATGGGCGGCTTGTTGTGCAGCTCGATGAGGCTCTCCAGGGTCTTGTTCTGCCAGCGCACTAGCAGCCCGTCACTGGCCTGGGGTCCCCGGGGAGGGGGGAGATGGTTAGAAGGGGCTGGGACCTTGAGCGTGGTGCTGACCAGGAAGGGGAGCCCTGTGTGGCCCGGGCAGTGCGACCCCTGAGAACCAGGGCACCTGGCTCAGTCATTCCTCGTGCTGATGTGCTTGAGGGGTCTTAGGCTCAGCCACCAGCCACCTCCAATGACAGGGATGACCCAGACCTTCCAGAGCCTGCCAGGGATGGAAGGAGAGCTCAGGGGAGGGGGACAGACTGGGGGAAGGCGGCCGGAGAGGCGTAAGGAGCGGGCAGTGTGGTGAAAATGTGCTCGTGTGCTTTCTTCCTCTCATGTGTTTGTGTCTGTGACTTGGAGTCTGTCACTCAAGGTCCCCTCCTCCAGGAAGCCTTCCTGACCCCAAGTCTGATGCAGACAGCACAGCCCCAACCTCCCATGGTGCCTGCTCCCCGAGCCCTCCACCATGTGCAGGAACAGTGCCTCAGTTTCCCTCCCATGGTGCTCAATTAATAGCACATGAGATGTTATTTAGAGCTGTGCCTGCCGGGGACTGCGTACTTGGTAAACAGCACCTATGTCGAGTTTGGATTGCAGTGCCTGGCCAAGAGCTTGTATCAAAGAAATGACAGTACAGGCCAGGCATGGTGGCACATGCCTGTCATCCCAGCACTCTGGAAGCTGAGGCAGGGGGATCGCTACAAGTTCAAGGCCAGCCTGGGCTATGCAGCAAGACCCTGTCTCAAAAGACCAAAAAAAAAAAAAAGGGACGGTGAACCAAATCGGATGTGTTTCCTCCAGGCAGAGAGAGGGGCGCTGTGGGACCCGCAGGCCGAGCAGAGCAGCCCCCTATCGAGAGCCTCCCGGGGCGGCAGCCCGGTGGCTGCTGGGGCCTCTGATGCGGGCGTGACTTTCCAGCAGGGACGCGTGTGCCATCAGCTGACGGCGGTATTACTTTTCATCGTAAATGAGTAAAGTGACATCAGTCTCCTGTGCCTACGGGACGTGCCCATCATTCGTCCCCGAAGTCCTGAGCTCACCCATGTCCAATGCCTGGGACAGCATCGCGCTCACTCCGTGTCCCACCCCTGTCTCTGGTCCCCCACAAAGCAACCTTTGCTTGAAAAAGGAAGTGGCTTCTCCATGCAGAACCCTGCTTTGGCTTTCCATTTCTGTAGCGCAAAAACCAGTTGTACGGACTCTGTCTGACCCTCGCCCTCACCTCTGACCTCATGCCTCCTCCCAGCCACGCGGGCTGCGTCCAGCAGGCACTCCCGGCCTCAGGGCCTTTGCACTGGCTCCCTCCCCGGTGCTGCCCCCAGATCCCTGCAGGCCCCCGCAGCTTTCATACTGAAACGCACACTTGTCCCCTTCCTGTCCCTTTCCCATAACGCCCCTTCTTCCGCGCCCGCCTGCGCAGACTCGCTGATTTCTCACAGCTGCTGTCTGGTCCTCTCAGGCTGCATGGGGGGAACTTTTGGGCCCGGGTGCCTCCCCCACGTGCTGGGTCCTGTCTGGGGCTCGTGTCCGCGGTGGGTGGGCAAGCTGACCCCTTGCCAACTGTAAGCCCCCTGCTGCCGGCTTGCAGGGAGCCCCTGAATCCGTCCTTCCAGCTGCCAGAAGGGATCTGCTTAGGGGGCTCGGCCCTGGGTAAACTGAGTCCCCACCCTCTGATCCCCTGGACGAGGTGGGGGTAGGGCTCACATTTCGCGGCCGGATGGGGACCCTCTCATTGTCGGAGTTCATGCCCGGGATGATGACCGTCATGCGCCGGGGCCCTCGGAAGCCCAGCACGTTGGTTTCCTGGGGGGAGACGCGGTGAGGCCGCGGGCAGCGGAGCGGGGAGGGGGGCTGGGCGGCGGGGCCTGGGTCCTCACATAGATCACGGCGGCCAGCTCCTGGCGCAGGCTGCTCACGTCGCCGCCCGCCCCGCGCTGCGGGTTCTGGCCGGCATCAAAGACGGTGAAGCGGTTCCCCAGGAGGTTGGACCTGCGGGGCGGGCAGGGCTAGGGCACCCTTGCATAGGCCTGCGGCCTTCCTGTCCCCCGTCCTGCCTTCCCCTCTGGAAAGGTCTTTGCAATTTTATATATTTTATTTTATTTTTTTGAGGCAGGGTCTCACTGTATAGTTCAGGCTGGCCTCCAACTTGAAGTGATCCTCTGGCCTCAGCCTCTGAGTGTTGGGATCCTCCTGACTCAGCCTCCTGAGTGCTGGGATTACAGGCGTGCGCTACTACAAGCAGCACCTGAGAATCTTCTCTGAAAGTTTAGGCTACAAGGACACTGGGTCGCATTCAGATCTCAGTTCTGTCTCTCCCTAGCTGTGTGACCTTAGGCAAGTTCCTCAAACTCGCTGGACCTCAACTTTCCATATGCAAAATTTGCACATTAGGTTGGTAAAAGGGATTAAATGGATTAATGTTTGGAAGTGGCTTAGGTTTATAGACACATCGGTGCAGCCATTGGCCCTGTGTGAGTGTTGTTAATTAAATCAGTGTTGGGCGTGCTGGTAAGTTCCTGTTAACCAGCCCGTGGGAGAAGGCTGAGGCAGGAGGATCGCTGTGAGTTCAAGGGCAGCCTAGGTTACAAAGTGAGAACCTGTCTCAAAAATAAGAGCAGGCCCCGCCGCCAACCACCCGGTGGCCTGGGTGAGACTGGACGTGTGTGGGATCCCCGGAAAGCGCCGTCCCCCACCGGAAGATGTGGAGGACGGCCCGCCCCACCTCAGCTTTCCGATGAAGTCGTCCCCGCCGCGGGACAGGTTGGTGGGGTCGCTGGAGATGAGGTAATTGGCCGTCTTGCTGCGTTTGCGCTTGCGGCCGGCCAGCAGAAAGACCTGGAGAGGGGCCGAAGGGGCGTCAGGGAGGTCCCCCCACCGGGCCAGGGGAGGGCCCCGCCGGCGCCCTGCCCACCTTGCGCTCGGTGTCCAGGTGCAGGAAATAGGAGGGGTACATGCCCCGGTCCATGCCCTTCTTGTCCCGCGTGAGGCGGCAGCGCACCGTCCGGCCCTGCGGTGCGGGGCGCAGCACAAACTCGCGGGGGTCGTCCACCTCCACGGGCGGGGACGTGGGTCTCTCCTCCTTCTGGGGGTACAGGGGCGTCAGCCCAGGCCCGCCCTCCACCTCGGCGGGGGCCCAGGTTGCACACAGCTTGGGCCACCGGGGCATTCTTTTTCCTTTTTTGGTGCCAGGAATTGAACTCAGGACCTTGTGCTTGCCAGGCAGGCATTCACGTTGCTAAGCTCTATTTCCAGCCCCTGCACTCACCACTTTCTGTGAGACTGGTAGAGCAGCTGAGTGGCCCTGGTCCCGCAGGGCGGGCCACCTCTGACCCCAGCAGGCCCTACCCTGGGGATCTGGGGTGTTGCTGATTCGTTATGTTTGTTTTCCTTGTGACCAAGAGCTCAGGCTCTGGGTTCAAATCCCAGCGCCACCCCGGCTGGTCCATCAGGTTTGTTGCATGTTTGTGTCTTTACTTTCCCACAACACATCAACACACCAGCCTTGTGACACAGTTTGAGGGGGCACATCTCCCAGTGGGGTGAGTGCCCAGGCACACTTAGGGCCCACAGAAGCGTCTCCGGGAAGATTTTTGTTTTGTTTTTTGGTACTGGGGATCAAACTCATGACCTTGTGCTTGCCAGGCAGGCACTTGTGCCTCTGAGCAAAATCCCCGGTTCCGGGTCCTGATTTAATTTACATACTTAAAAAGGCTCCTGTGTGCTGAGAATTGGTGGCACATGTCCGTGATCTCAGGGAAGGCTGAGGCAGGAGGGACCCATCAATTCAAGGTCATCCTGGGCTTTATGATGAGTTCAAGGCCAACCTGAACTACATGGTGAGACCTTGTCTCAAAAAATAAAAATATTCATATAAACTCCACCAGTGTGTTCTGAGTGCTTTCTAAATATTAGCTCTTAGCCCTCACACAAACCCTCGGGGACAGCTGTTCCACTGTACAGATAACAAGTCAGAGTCTTAAGTGACTTCTGGGGTTTGTATAGGCAGCAAGCATTGGGCTGGGGTTTGAGTCCTGCCTGGTCCCGTCTGCCTCAGGCCCTTAGGAAAACTCCCCCCCCAGGAAGCTCATGGTTTTGGGGTGAGCTGGGGCTGTTGGATGCACTGCTGCACTCCACACAGGGGTGCACACTAGGCCGTCAGATGGCGGGAGCTGCCTTAATTTCCCAGAGTGGGCCATCCAAGCTTCTGTGGCTCCCGCTCAGCCTCTCTGCTGGCTTCCGAGAGAAGTTGGCAGCCACCACGACCAAGGGTCCTCAGGAGCCACAGAGGCTCCTGCCGGCAGTCCGGACAGCAGTGAAAGGGGGTGGCACATTTCCAGGCAACTTTAGGTGACCAGCCCCACTGAGGACCTGGCCGGACCCATCCCAATGGCTGCTCCTGAGTTCCCACTAGGAAACTGAGTGCAGTTTGCAGACCCTGGGCTTTGGGAGGATTTATTAGCAGCAAGCACGAGAATCCCATAAGGCCCTGGCATTGGCCCCTCCTATTCTCACGGGCCTGGGCTTTATCTTTAGGTTCTGTCCCTGGAGGAGGGGGGGGGGTGGGCAGCCTGGTGTGGGCACTGGGGGGTTAAAAGCTCTCGGGGCGCACTGAGGAGCCCTGGAGTGCAGTGCTTTGCTGAGGGCTGATTGCACCATGAGGGAGGTGAGGTGCAGCCACAGGCCTTACCTAGGGGCAAGGGCCATCCCGTCTCCACAGCAGCCCGCCCCAGAAGAAACTTGGGCAACACGGGACTATGCCTGGAATGTGCCGTGCAGCAAGCCAGAGCCTATGCAAACACTTCCACAGTGGTGAGTTTCAAGGACCCACTGCAAGGAGGGCCCGGTGGCCCTCCAGCGGCCTCCGGGTTTACACATTGAGGGCGGTGGGCTTGGTGGGTGGGAGTCCATCCAAGGCCTGATCGCTCCCGTGCAGACTGATGGCGGCAGAGCTAAGGCAGGGCCTGCGCTCACAGGGTCCTCACTGATGGACACCTGTCTTGCTGATGCCTGCTCATGTGTGTTGGTGCCCAAGTCCTGCCTAGGGCAGGGGCAGTGTTCCAAATTCTCAGCAGCCTCCTCTGCTCATCCAGCACGGCCGGGTGTGGATGGGAACCGGCGGCTGGAGTGGCCAGGGGGTCACGCTCTGTCTAATAGCTGGGAGGCTGAGAGGACCTGGGTGAACCTCAGAGAGCCGTACAGAAATACAGCCAGCTGATTCTGTCCCTTGGTGTCCCCAAAACTGAGGACAGCGGCACCCCTTGCCTATGCCATGTGTCTCTCTTAGTGGGGGGTCCATGGGGACGTCTCCCATTAGAGCTGACAGGATGCAGGGTGGTGGCACCAGAGGACAGAGGGTCCAGGCTGGGCAGGTCCTAGCCTGGTGACCCCTGGCACCCTCTGTCCTTGAATCATAGCACAGGGAACCAGACTCTGGCACAAAGTGACCCCAGCCCCAACCCGAGCCCCAATCCCCAGTCCCCTAGTCTGGACCTCGGACCTTTTTGCCTTTTCCTTTTGTTTTGCCCTTCTGATTGCTGTTCTTGGCCGCCACAGCCGCCCCCTCCTCCTGCTCCTCCTCTGTTCTCTCCTCCGTTCCGCTCGGTGGGCCTGCATGGAGAGGAAGAGGTCCTCGGCTTCTCAGCTGTCTGGCTGAGACTCGCTGGGACCCAACCTGCAATGTGGGAGGGTCACCCCGTGTGGTCAGAGTCTCTGAAAGACCAAGACATCTGCCTGGGGCACCCAGCTGTCAGGAGGACCCCACATTCCTTTTTTTTTTCCCATACCGGGGGGAATCAAACACAGGACCTCGCCCTTGCCAGGCAGGTGCTTGTGCTACTGAGCTGTATCCCTGGCTCCTGCCTTCTTCTTTGAGACAGTCTCATTATGTAGTGCAGGATGGTTTTGAGCTCACTATGTAGCCCGGAATGGCCTCAGACGCACAGTGACCCTTCTGCCTCAGCCTCCCCGGCAAGCCACCCATTACAAAGGTTCTCAGCTCCCACCCGAGGGCTCCCCCAACGGTGGGCACTCGAGGCCCTGTCACCTCCTTTCTTCTTCACAGCCTTCGTAGCAGGGCTGCCCTCCCTGACCAGGAACAGGGCAGCTGGGCTCTTCTCTCCTGCTGGGCTCCCCGCTGGATTCTTGTCAGCCTCCCCAGGCCCTGCACGGGTGGGTACAAAAGGTTCACATCCCCCACCGCAGCTGCAGCCCCTGTCCTTCTGGGGTGTCCTCACCTTTCTTTTTGGTCTTTTTCACCCTCGCCCCGTCTCCAGCTTCCTTCTTAGTGCGAAGAGGCTTCTGGGGAGGCTTGGGGCTTCCCAGGTCCCCTGGAAATGGAGTCAGGGACAAAGAAAGGGCTGACGGGGTCCAATAGGGATTTCTGTCCCCCTGGCCTTAACTCTGGTCCTCAGTGAGGCCAAAGGCCTGACGGGGCTCCCAGCCTGCCTCTCCCTTGTGTTTCTTCCTTGTGAATCCAAAAAAATAGTGGACAAGCCAGGAGCGATGCCACATGTCTTTAATCCCAGCGCTCTGGGAGGCTGAGGCAGGAGGGTGTGGATTTCAAGGTCAGCCTGGGTGAGTTAGCAATTTAGACTCTGCCTCAAAAAAAAAAAAAAAAAAAAAAAAACAAGGATTCGGGATGTACTCAGTGTGAAGGCCCAGGGTTTAGTCTTTAGAATGCTGCCCCTAAGAGTGCCAGCCAAGGAAGGAGCCTAGGAAGCAATTAGCAGATGAATGAGGGGGTGAGCACGCCCATCCGGCCTTCTCCCTGAGCCTCCAGATCCTGCCAGACCACCCTGCCCCAGGAAGCCTCCCTGGCCACCCCTGCTCTCTCCTTCCAGGACCCCAGGTTCTAGGTGTGGGGACACAGGCTGACTCCTGGCCCCTGCCGGAAAGCCGAAGCCTTTATTGAGTCATTTGACATCTTTATAAAAATTGTAACAGGATTTCACATCGAGTTAAATCCAAAAATCACAAAAGTCCTCGGCCTTCCGTGGGCTCCCAGAGCACCTGGGGCCGGGCTGGCCTGGCGGTGGGGTAGGGGGTGAGCCGTGAGGACCGCGGGGTGGGAGCCCCAAGGAAGCGCCCTCGGGGCAGGTCGGGTCAAGAGTCACGTGCTAGGCCCTCGTGTCTGCGACCCCAGCCCTGGGCCACCCACTGCAGGCCGTGCTCCTCCGGCTCAGCACCCACCCCGAGGGGCCTGGGCCTTGGTCCTCCTGTCCCTCTTGTCCCCGGAAGCCTTGTCCTTCGGGGGCTTTCTGGCAGGCTTGGGACTTTTCTGTTTCTTTTCTTCATCTTCTTCCTCTTCCTCTTGGTCGCCACCTTCCTCCTCCTCCTCTGCAAGCACAACCTCCTTCTAGTAGGGGGTCGCGGACCCTTCTCTGGGAGCCCAGGGGTCCGCAGGGGCAGAAACTCGTCCTCTTGGAAGGTCAAAAAAGCCGGAGACCGCGAGGTCTCGGACCCTCCTACAGTGCGGGACTTTAGGGGGCCCCACCCTCAGGCCCCTCCCCCTCAGGCCCCTCCCCCTCAGGCCCCGCCCCGTTCGTAGGACCCACCCTCCAAGGTCCCGCCCATTAGGCCCCACCACGCCACACTATCAGTCACGCCCTTTATTTAGGCCCCGCCCCTAACTATGCTCACCAACCAGCCTCCTCCCATATAAGGCTCCACCCTCTCAGGGCCACGCCCACAACCCTTAGGCCACGCCCCTTTGTTCCTTGCAGCCCAGAGGCTCCCGGGCTCCCCTACTCCCCGCTTCCAGCGGCCCCTGCGGTCTCCTTGTCCTAGACCCTCTCTGTTCCCGACCAGAGCAGAGCCGCGTGTGCTACTTCGGACTCCTAACTGTAGCTTAAGGCAAAACCCTCAGTCTCTCTGGGCCTCAGTTTCCCCATCTGTAAAACGGGAAAAAGAACCAGGGCAGCGACCTGGGAACCAGGTGGTCTGCGCTCCCTTTCGGGGTCCCCCCCACCCTGCTCGCTCTCACCGTCCTCGGCGTCTGGGGCCCGGGCCACCAAGAAGGTATCGCGGGGGTCGCGCTTCTTGGCCTTGGGGTCCCTGAGGAACCTGGCGTAGACGGCGGGTCCGGGGTCCGGGTCCGGGTCTGGGTCCGGGTCCGGGTCCGGATTGGGGTCCCCTCGCGGCCGTGCTCTCCGAGCTGCGCGAGACTCGGGGTTCAGAGCGCTCAGGCCCGGCACCCCAGCCCCCCGCCCACCCCGCCCCCCTGCCCACCTCCAGGTTTGCGGGGCTTGGGTCCCGCGGGGTCTGGGGACCCGGGTGTCTCCGTCTTCTTCCTCAGCTTCTGGGGGGCGGGGAACGAGGGTCGGGAGGGGAAGAGTAAAGGGGGGTCCAAGTGCTGCCCGGCACCCTCTAATCCCTTGAGCCACTAGAAATAGCAGCGGATTATCCGGAGGGCTGAGGCAGGAGGACCCCTTCCCGCACCGTGCTCACTTCTGAGCTGCAAAGCCACCCCCCACGCCGGACCCCACGCCTAGAAACATCCTTTCCTGCACCCCCGAAAACACCTCCGCGCTTGAACTGCAGGCGCGCGGGCACTGAGGGAGGCCCGCCTGTCTCAGCCTCCCGCCCGCTTCGGGACCTCTCCGACCCGCTCGCAGCCGGGGCCCTACCGGTTTGGGGCGCCGCTGGGTCTCCGGGCTGGGTCCGCCCTCCTCATGCCCGCTGCGGGGGAGCACAGGGACCAGGCTGTCCAGCCGCCCCGGCCCGCCCCAGCCCTCCCCGGGATGCGGGGTCGCGAGGCGGGCGCGCGGGGTGGGGACAGGCGTGGGTACCGACCTGTCGGAGGCCCACACCTCCCGCAGGGTCTCGTCCTGCAGCGGCATGGCGCTGCCTCTGCCCCGTCCAGCCCCGCGGCAGCCCCGCGGCGCCTGCGCCTCGCGGCCCACAGCTAATCTGGGCTCAGCCTCGTCCCAGCTCAGCCGGGCTGGGCGGCGGCCCTGGGGGAGGGGCTCCCGCCGCGACCCCCTCCCAAGGGGCCAGGAGGCCAGTCTGGGGGCGCCACCTTCCCAGACCCTGGCAGCCCACAGGACGGTGGTGCCAGGGGTCCCCCAGCCCAGGAGTTTTGGGTTGGAGGTGCCCCTTGCAACTTGGCTGTGGTCAGTGGGAAAATACTGATTTGGGTCATGTGATCATCTTAATTTCTAATTATTAAAAGGCAGCAGCAGAAGAACTAAGCCCACCGTGCCAGGGCTCGCAGGCCTGTAATCCCAGCACTCCAGGAGGCTGAGGCAGGAGGATCCAAAGTGGGAGCCTGGTCTGCACAACTTAAGGATTGAGAGAGAGAGAGAGAGAGAGAGGGAGGGAGAGCTAAGTCTGATCCTTACACGGGGACCTCACACTGAGTCACAGCGGCAAGCGTCCCCACCGGCTCCTCATGTGGCCGCCGAGTCCTCTCTGTGAGAGCAGCACAAGGCTTTTGAGAGAGGCCACATTCATAGAACTATGTTTGTCTCCCCCACCCCCAGTACTGGGGAAGGAACCCAGGGCCTTCACACTGAGCTGCGGCTCCCGGACTTTTTCATTTATTTAGGGTCAGCTATGTCATTAAGTTGCCCAGGCTTGGCTTTAACTGGTGATCCTCCTGCCTCAGCCTCCCAGAGTAGCAGGATCACAGGCGTGGGCCACCACACCTGGCTTCACGTAGCTGTTGCTCTGTCGTGTTTTATAACTCTTTCCTTTGTAGTTATCGTCCGTGTCTTACCGTGCTGAGTGTGTAAGCCATCACAGAGGTACACAAGTGTGGGCAGGACTCAGCCTTCACACCTGCGGTTCGGGCGCCCCTGAGACTCCTGTCATGGGGTTTGGGGCAGCAGGCCCTGGGCAGAACTGTCACACATTGGCACGGTGTTGAACAGCGCACACAGCACCCCAGCGACACCTTATGGTAGTAACTCATGGGCCGGTTACATTTCTGGGTGTGCAGGTCTTCCCTTGCTGTGGGCAGCACGGTAGTAGTCATTTGTTTTTTGTTGTTGTTGTTGATTTTGAGATTGCATCTCAATAAATTGCCCAGAATGGTCTTGGGCTGAAGAGATCCTCCTGTCTCAGCCTCCTGGTAGATGTGACTCCTACCTTATAATCCTTGATATCAGCAACTAGTCGGGCATTGGAGGTCAGCTTGCAAATATTTTTGGTTTTTTTCCCCAAGAATATTAATAACAGCTGAGCATGGTGACGCCAGCACAACAAAAATTCAAATTTCAGAAAAGCATTTACATTAGAGTTTTTTCTTTGCAGTGTTGGGATGCTTAGCAGGTCCTACACCCTCAGCCTACATTTGATTGAGTTTTGAGCATTTATTTCAAGTATTTTACCTTCTAATTTTAATATGTAATTTTAAGTATGTCACTTCTGAAAACACATGAAAAACAACTTTAATGTTTTCTGTCTTCCCATTGTTGTTTTTTATTTTTTGAGATGACCTTACTGTGCAGCCCAGGCTGGCCTTGAACTCACAGTCCTCCTGCCTCAGCCTCCCAAATGTTGGGAGTACAGCCGTGCACCACCACCCGCAGTTCCGATCTTATTTTATTCTATCTACTTATTTTTTTATTATCTTTTTTCCCCCTTGGTACTGGGGATTGAACTCACGACCTCGCACTTTGCCAGGCAGGCGCTTGTGCCACTGAGCTAAGTCTCTGGTCCCTATTTTTTGTCTTTTTGAGACAGGGTCTCACTTTACAATCACTTTGTAGCTCAGAATTTGCAGTGATCCTCCTGCCTCAGTCTCCCCCAGGCTGGGATTATGGCCGTGCTCCACCACACCTGGCTCCAATTTTAATTTTTAAAACTTCAAATATCTCTAGTGACTTCCGAGGACAGCGAGGTTGCATCTCGAGTACCTGGAGGCAAGGGTTTGCTTTAATCCTTTGTGAATTAGCGTGGGCTGAGCTCTTGACAGGTGTAGAAGGGATCAGAGTGCAGCCAGGAGAAGAAGGGGCTGACACAGGCCGTGTGAAGTGCAGGCTGGGGTCGGGTGGTCTCGGGGCTGGGCGCGGAGATCTGCGTGAGGAGGGCCATTTGGATCACGGAGCTCAGAGAGAATCGCTGGTCTCTTTGTTTCTACTGCTGTACCCAAACCACAGGAAAAACAGGCTCGAGGCTCTGTAATTACACTTTGTTTTCGACTCAAAAACGTATTTCTCAACCTGATCTCTGCCTTTACTCACCAGGCTCACCTCCACGTGGAATTTTCACCAAAAGAAAATTCTTGCAGGACATGGCAGCCTATAAGACCAGTGCTTGGGAGGCTGAGGCAGGAGGATCGCTGTGAGTTCAAGGCCAGTCTGGGCTCCATGGTGAGACCCTATCTCAAAAACAAAAACAAAAAAAAAAAAAAAAAAAGAAAAAAGAAAAAGAAAGAAAAAATTACATTCACTCTCTTGGGCCAGGCAGATGGTCTCACGCCTGTGCCCGCAGTGTGAGACGTGAACCGGCCCACAGGTGACGTGAACCTGCATGTCACAGATAAGGAAACTGAGGCCCATGTCCCCACAGGACTCAACCTCGGGCCTGGCTGGCTCAGCCTCCGGGGTGCAGAGGTGACAGAGAGGACAGAGATGGAGAGTGGGGGTTCGTGGCACCCAGCTGTCCCGGCTGGAGCCGGCAGGCGCTTATCAGACACAACCCCGCCCAGCCCGTGTGTGGCCAGGTCCAGGCAGGGACAGGTCTGAGCAAGCCTACCTGCTTTGAGCTGCTGCCCCACGGCCTGGGGCCGCTGTCCTGCCAGGGAGGGCCCACGAAGAGAGAAAGTCACTGCTGGGCTCTCCTGGCTGCAGGGCTGAGCAGGGTCTGGGCCCAGCCTGGCCGTGACTGCAGTGTGGCCCCCAGCAGGCCCCAGTGTTGGTTTATTTATTTAATGAGGGACAAGGTCTCGCTGTGTAGTTCATGCTGGTTGTGAACTTGTGGTGATCTTCCTGCCTCAGCCTCCTGTCTCTAGACGGGAGGCCCCTTCCCGGTGGGACAGTGTCAGCCCCAGCCCTCCCAAGTTCCCAAGGCTCCAGGGCTCCAAACAGCAGAGCTTCAGGTACCCGGCTCTCAGCCCCAGGGGCAGGGTGGAGTAAAGATCAGAGCACACTGCAGTGCTGGGCCTTAAAGTGAGGTTGTGTGTGTGTGCACACGTGCGTTGTGTGCATGGTTCTAGAACGTGCTAGGCAAGTGCTGTGCCGCTGAGCTACACCCCTAGTCCTTTTTATGTTCAAGCAGGGTCTCTATAAGTGGTCCAGGCTTGTTTCAGACTTGAGATGCTCCTGCCTCAGCCTCCTGAGGAGCCAGGTTTACAGGGGTGAACCATGCTGCCTAGCTTATGATGCTGATGTTCTAAACTACCCCGTGGTTTATTAGAGGGGACATCTGTACAGATGAAGAAAAGCAAGAAAAGAGGAAACAGGGTAAAGTATGAGGGGCAGAGGACACAAGTTACCACAGAGCAATGGGGCAAGCTTGCTGGAAGAGACCTTCAATGCCCATCTGGGGGAAGAACACACCAGGCACTGGACCAGCAAGTGCAAAGGCCCCGAGGCAGGAGGGTGCTGAGCCATAACCAAGAACCAGCCAGTGAGCTCTGGGCAGAGAAGCAGACCAGGCCAGAGAGGCACGTGGGGCCTGGGGATTCTAGGTGGTGGGCACCACTGGGTTCGGACGACGTGGGGACGTAGCAGGTTCTGAACAGAGCCAGTCACATTTCCGGAAGGCTACACAAGGACAATGTCTGGGGATCCCTGGCTTGGCAGAGCCACACCGCTGACACCGAGTCTGGGCTGCGGGGGGGGGGGGGGGGGGCGCGGGATGCAGTTCCCAGGCCTGCCAGCAGGTGGCGCTCAAGTCCAGGCGGCTCACGGGGTGGCGCCCCCTCCTCGTCCCCGTGACCTTCCTCCGTCCCCCTCCTTTGGGGTCGAGGCGCAGGGGTGGTGTCCGTGGTCGTGGAGGCACAGGAGGTCAGGGCCGCAGGGTCCCCGGAACAAACCGAGACTCTGGGTGTGCGCAAGCCTGAGCGAGCCGCACCCCAGCCGGCCCTGCAAGGCCTGGGGGGACTCGCGGGGCAGGGGTGGCTGCGGGGGAGGGGAGCGCTGCGTGGGCCCGCGGGGGAAAACCCTCTTCTGTGTAACATGCACGCCCACCGCCAGAAAAGAGCAGTGAAGCAGGGTGTTGCGGTGCACACCTGCAATCCCAGCCTTCTGGGAGGCTGAGGCAGGAGGCTCTTGAGTTGGAGCCCAGCCAGTGAAAAATAGAGACTGAGCGAGACCTGGTCTCAAATTGAAAAATACAAAGGGCTGGGGGGGGGTGCAGCTCCGTGGGGGTCGCTGTGCTCAATCTCCAGGAGCAGGGTCTCTTCCTGGAAGGGGCGCAGGAGCTGTGCCCTCGGTGCCCTGCGACCCAGCTGAGCCGCCTTGGCGACAGGGGCGCACAGGCTGTCCTTACTCATTTCCATAGCAGCTGTGTCACAGGTGCACGCGCGCAGCGCCCCGTGGGCAGGTGGCCGGGCTCACCGCCCACCTGTGGGCAGGGACAGGCCTCACAGCACCCACGCGTGGGGCCGCGGGACCTGTGCGCGGAACCCGCCAGTTCCCCGCCATGGGTGCTGTGCAGCTTCTCCCTCGAGGATGGAGCGGACTCATCCGATTCCCTGACACGGAAGGAAAGTGGGTCCCCCCGGGGTGAGCTGGGGGGAGGGCTCCAGCTCTGCAGGCCCGGCCTCGAGGTAGGTGCTGACTGCTGCGTGGGGATCTGAGCTAAAGCTAATGCAGCACGGGAGGCTGAGGCAGGAGGATCGCCGCAAATTCAAGTCCAGCCCGGGCTACACAACAAGACCCGGTCTCAAGCAAAAGAAAGCAAAGCAAGACAAAACAACCCAGTCCAATCCCAAACAAATC